TGAGTCTGCCCCCTGTTCTTGTCGTCTCCTGTCTCACGAGACTCTTCTCTGGCACCACCGTCTTGGTCACCCCTCTCTGCTTCGGCTCAGAGGCATGGCCTCCCGTCTTCTAGTGTCTGGTCTCCCCCGGTCCCTCCCTCCCCTTCCTCAGGGCCCTGGCCCTACCTGTGTCCCCTGTGTCGAGGGGCGCCAGCGTGCTGCCCCTCACTCCTCCCAGTTTCCTCCGACAGAGGCCCCGTTGCAGACGCTCCACATGGACGTGTGGGGCCCAGCCCGCGTCCGTGGGCAGGGTCACGAGCGCTACTTCCTGCTCGTTGTTGACGACTACTCGCGTTACACTGCAGTCTTCCCCTTGCGCGGCAAGGGTGATGTCGCTGAGGTGCTGATCGACTGGATCCGCGCAGCTCGTCTCCAGCTCAGGCAGAGCTTTGGCTCCGACTTTCCTGTTCTGCGTCTGCACTCGGACAGAGGCGGAGAGTTCTCCTCTGGCCTTCTGCGAGCCTACTGTCGTGCACGAGGCATCCGTCAGACCTTCACGCTCCCGGACTCTCCGCAGCAAAATGGGATTGCTGAGCGCCGCATTGGCATGGTCATGGACGTCGCTCGTACGTCTATGATGCATGCGGCTGCCCCCCATTTTCTGTGGCCGTTTGCGGTGAGGTACGCGGCACGTCAGATCAACCTTCACCCCAGGGTCTCCAGGCCGGAGACCTCCCCAGCCTTGCTGTGGACCGGGAAGGTGGGCGATGCGTCGGCGTTCCGGGTCTGGGGATCTCGGGCGTTTGTCCGCGACTTGTCTGCGGACAAACTGTCCCCTCGTGCTGCTCCCTGTGTCTTCCTGGGGTTCCCCCCAGACGCGCCTGGGTGGCAGTTCTACCACCCCACCTCTCGCCGTGTTCTGTCCTCTCAGGACGTCACGTTCGACGAGTCGGTACCCTACTACCGCCTCTTCCCCTACCGCACTCCGTCCCCCCCCCCCGCCCCCGCTCTTCCTTGTACCAGATCCCCCCCCGGTAGACCCCCTCCCCCCTCAGGGTCCTGCCCCTTCAGGTGTGTCCCAGGTAGACGCAGTCGAGCCTGTCGAGGTCACTGGTGACTCTGGTGCTGCTGGGGGTGCTGAGCCTGGGGGTGCTGGACCTGGGGGTGCTGGGCCTGGGGGTGCTGAGCCTGGGGGTGCTGAGTCTGGGGGTGCTGAGTCTGGGGGTGCTGAGCCTGGGGGTGCTGAGCCTGGGGGTGCTGAGCCTGGGGGTGCTGAGCCTGGGGGTGCTGAGTGTGGGGGTGCTACGCCTGGGGGTGCTTTGCCTGGGGGTGCTGGACCTGGGAGTGCTGCGCCTGGAGGTCCTCCGCCTCGAGTTTCTACGCGTGCTTTGTCTCGCCGGGAACCACTCTCTCCACAGGAGCTGCGCGAGTGGTTTGCCCGGCGCTGGAGCCGTGCTGCTGGTGCTGGTGGTTCGTCGGCTACTGAGGGTGCTGCTGTTGCGGGTCCCGGAGGTGCTCGTACTGGGAGTACTGGAGCTGCTGGGCCTGCGGGTTCGACTGGAGCTGGTGCTGCTGAGGGTGTTGGCGCTGAGACTACCACTGGCGGTACTGCTGGCGGTGCTCCTGGTGTTGCTCGAGGTTCTGGAGCTACTGGAGGTGCTGCTGGAGCGGGTGCTCCTGCTGGGGGTACTGGTGCTGTCCCTGCTGTTTCTGGCGTAGCTACGCGGCCTCGACCGTACTTCGTTCCACTCCTGCAGCAGGTTCTTGGTCTTCCGCCCTCTCCTGGTCCTCCTCCTCTCTTGGAGGGTCCACAGCCTGTCCCGTCGCGGTCACTGCTACAGCCTACCTCCCCTTTGCCTGCTCCTTCTCCCTACACTGGTCCTACTGGAGGTCTTACTGAGCGTCGTGAGCCTGCCTCTCGCCCTGCGTCGCCTGTCCGTGCTGCTCGCGCTAGTGGTCGTGGTTCGCGTCAGCGTCCTCCTCCTGTCCCTGGCACGCACAGGATGTCTCTGCGTCCGTCTACTGCTCCTCTGCGTGCCCCTTTGCCTTCTCCTCCTGAGTCCTCTTTTCCTGCTCTTCCCGACCCTGCGTCGGACTCTCTTCGTGCTGCCAGTCCTACTGTCACGCGTCTCCTTGCTACTGTCGTCACTGACCCTTTCTTCGAGTCTACTGCTACGTCTGCCCTAGTTACTGAGCTCGTCGACTTTGCTGCTCGCTGTCGCCTAGACTACGCTGCTAGTCTTGTCGCTGAGTCTGGGTCTGCCTGTCCTCCGTCAGTCGGGGGTGAGTGTGCCCTTGGCACGGACGTCCTTGAGGACAGGCAGGAGGAGTTCCAGTGTCTGGCAGCTGCTTCACCTCATCTCGTGTCCGTACTGCTTACCCCTGAGGGAGACCCGGATGCACTTGACATCCCGACTCCGCGCTCTTACGCGGAGGCGATAGAGGGTCCCTACTCCTCTCAGTGGCAGGCAGCTATGGATGCAGAGATGGCTTCCTGGAAGTCCACAGGCACCTACGTTGACGCTGTCCCCCCTCTTGGGGCGAACATCGTCAGTGGCATGTGGATCTTCAGGGTGAAGCGGCCGCCGGGTTCTCCGCCTGTCTTCAAGGCACGTTACGTGGCTCGTGGCTTCAGTCAGCGACAGGGAGTTGACTACTTTCAGACCTTCTCCCCCACCCCGAAGATGACAACTCTTCGGGTGCTGCTACACGTTGCTGCTCACCGTGACTACGAGCTGCACTCTCTCGACTTCAGCACTGCTTTCTTGCAGGGCAGCCTGCACGAGGAGATCTGGCTGCGCCGCCCACTTGGCTTCACTGGGTCTTTCCCTCCTGGTACCCAGTGGAGTCTCCGGCGTCCAGTCTACGGTCTCCGCCAGGCGCCACGTGAGTGGCATGACACACTGAGGACTACGCTTGCGGCTCTTGGGTTTGCTCCTTCTACTGCCGACCCGTCGCTGTTTCTACGCACCGACACCTCTCTGCCGCCGTTCTACATCCTCGTGTACGTCGACGACTTGGTCTTTGCCACAGCTGACACTGCTGGACTCGCCCACGTGAAGTCCGAGCTGCAGAAGAGACACACGTGCACAGACCTGGGTGAACTGCGCAGCTACCTTGGCTTGCAGATCACCCGGGACAGAGCACGTCGCACCATTACCCTGACTCAGTCACACATGGTGCAGCAGGTCCTTCAGCGCTTCGGCTTCACGTACTCCTCGCCTCAGGCCACTCCTCTGCCTACTCGCCACTCACTCTCAGCTCTGCCTTCGGATGAGTCCGTAGAGTCGAGTGGCCCGTATCCAGAGCTTGTTGGCTGCCTCATGTACCTGATGACCTGCACACGACCTGACCTTGCATACCCTCTTAGCATTCTTGCACGCTATGTTGCTCCTGGGAGACACCGACCAGAGCACATGGCTGCAGCGAAGAGGGTGTTGCGATACTTGTGCAGTACGTCGGGCATGGGACTAGTGCTTGGAGGGCGGAGTCCAGTGGTCCTCACTGGGCACGCGGACGCTTCTTGGGCTGACGACCAGGCTACGCAGCGGTCATCGCAGGGTTACACCTTCAGTCTTGGTTCCGGCTCTGTCTCGTGGCGAGCTACTCGCTCGTCCTCTGTTCTCGGCTCCAGTTGTGAGGCTGAGATCTACGCCGGGGCCATGGCTGCACAGGAGCTTCGCTGGCTCACCTACCTGCTGACTGACCTTGGAGAGCCGCCTCGTTCTCCTCCAGTGCTGTACGTAGACAACAAGGCCATGCTGGCCTTGTGTCGAGAGCAGCGCTTGGAGCACAGAACGAAGCACATTGCTCTCCGTTACTTTCTTGCTCGTGAGCTGCAGCAGCGTGGTCAGTTGCGACTTGCGTACGTGGCCTCTCAGGCCAACACTGCTGATGTGTTCACCAAGGCACTTGCGCCTTGTGACCATCAGCGCTTCTGCACTCAGCTGGGTCTTGTACCTGTCTTGCCTCACTTGCTCTCCTCTTGACCTTACTTGTACTGTCACATATATATACCTGCTCTTGCTTGTCTAGCTCTATATATATATGTGTACTCCTGCATGTGAACTGGCCTTGTAGCCTTGTCGTTGTGCTCGGACTGTGTGGTGACGTTGTGATCCACCCTGAGCTTGCTCTGCTTTGCTTGACTGGTCTTGTGAACCCTTGTTCTCCCCCACTTTGCCTATGGGGGTGTGTCAGAACATTATATAGCTTATGCTGTTGTGTAGGCTATAGTGGGGTATCCCATAGGGGGTACAACCCAATTAGGGTTTTCTATATGTACTCACCTCATTCATAGTTCATTCATCCTCGTTCTTCATTCTTCTCAGTTTAGGGTTGATGCCCTCTACGTGGCATACCATCCATGAGGGTTTTCTTTTTTTGTCCCAAGCTGCGCGTTTGCTGTCGAAAAAATTAGGAATATCCTGTAAAACAAAAAACGTTTGTATTAATGGACTAAAAAGGGGAAACGGAGAAATCAAATGCCCGAAGGTATTGGACGCGAGCGCGGAGCGATGTGCTGTCAAAGCCACTGCCCATTGGAATTGGAAACAAGAAAACACGGCGCTCTGTCATTTCCTCCTTGATCTGCTTTTCCTGGTAAAGGTGGGCGATTTGTGTCTTGCCGTTTTGATTGGTCGCACGCAAGTGCGATTCTGTCAGGTACGTTTTTCAGGTGTGGTAGCTTTCCATGCCTGAGGGGGTCGTTTGGCTTTGACTGGACGAACTGACGTTTCGTCTGTGTATTTCAAACTGTTCGTCACAAATTTAGCCTCTCGTAACCCAATCACAGGTGCTTTAGCCCAACCAAGTGTAATACCATAGAAAATATGAGACGCGGGTTTTAATCAACTTTGTCATTTACATTCACTATGATCAGAGTTCCTACAGAGACTTCCGCTACCAAACTCTTCTAAGGCAACTCCTATCCTATCCAAGGTCCTCACTCATACATAACAGGCAAAAAGGGCATTCCGAAGACGCAGCAGCACTGAAGCTGCACACCAGAAGTGTCCAATTTACATCTCCTTCACACCACGATGGCTTGCAAAGGAGAGGTATACATTCCACAGCAGTGCGATTACATTGGATGCTGCGACCTGCCAACATCCAATGCAACCAAAGCAGCACAGCACAGCACACAGCCACCACGTTAGCCCAAAACAACAACGGTTCTGATTCGTCTGCCACCAAGGCTGTAATAACCTGCTTCATGCAGCAATGTGTGTCGTATAAGGCATGCAAGGAAGTACCCCAGTGTAGGATGGAAAAACTAGTTGCTATCTAGCCTTCCGAGCCATGAAGTAACCGAGTGTAGGAGCAATTGACGAACCATTCTGCTTCCATGGTGGAAATTATTAGGTAACATGTAACAGGGCCTAGTGCATTTGCCCTGTAGCATAGAGAGGCTAGTGCATCGGCTTTGGTAAGCGCTCACCTGAAGATGCAGCGGCACACACACCTGAAGATGCAGCGGCACACACACCTGAAGGTGCAGCGGCACACACACCTGAAGGTGCAGCAGCACACACACCTGAAGATGCAGCGGCACACACACCTGAAGGTGCAGCGGCACACACACCTGAAGGTGCAGCGGCACACACACCTGAAGATGCAGCGGCACACACACCTGAAGGTGCAGCGGCACACACACCTGAAGGTGCAGCGGCACACACACCTGAAGGTGCAGCGGCACACACACCTGAAGGTGCAGCGGCACACACCCCTGAAGGTGCAGCGGCACACACACCTGAAGGTGCAGCGGCACACACACCTGAAGGTGCAGCGGCACACACACCTGAAGATGCAGCGGCACACACACCTGAAGGTGCAGCGGCACACACACCTGAAGGTGCAGCGGCACACACACCTGAAGGTGCAGCGGCACACACACCTGAAGGTGCAGCGGCACACACCCCTGAAGGTGCAGCGGCACACACACCTGAAGGTGCAGCGGCACACACACCTGAAGGTGCAGCGGCACACACACCTGAAGGTGCAGCGGCACACACACCTGAAGGTGCAGCGGCACACACACCTGAAGGTGCAGCGGCACACACCCCTGAAGGTGCAGCGGCACACACACCTGAAGGTGCAGCGGCACACACACCTGAAGGTGCAGCGGCATACACACCTGAAGGTGCAGCGGCACACACACCTGAAGGTGCAGCGGCACGAAGCGGAAGTTGAGGAACTGAAAGGGAATCCACACCTTCCAGTTGGCCACCACCGCCTTGGCCCACTCCTGATGGGGGATGGTGCGGGGACCAGGGAACAGCCAAGGTGGCAGGGCGACTAAGAAACACCACTACTTGATGCAACGAATCTCATTGCAAAGAGCATACTGCACAGGAGGCACAGGAGGCACAGGAGGCACAGGAGGCACAGGAGGCACAGGAGGCACAGGAGGCACAGGAGGCACAGGAAGCACATGCAACCTCTGTTGTGGCCCTGCACTGCTTCGGGCATGCACCTGTTTGCGGCAATCGCTAAAAATTCTGGCCGACTGTTTTTTAAGAATTAAAAAAAAGGGCCGCCGCTCTGACCTGCTTGAGCACGTCAGGGACCAATCGAGCCCCACTTAGAGGCCATGGTTCAATACGTGGCAGCAATTCTTTGGTTTGGAGACACCTGAGTAGGTGAAATGTGTTTGTGTAGAAAGAACACTTGTGAAAAATGTGATTGCAGCACTGACCTGCTTGAGCACTGACCTGCTTTAGCACTGACCTGCTTTAGCACTGACCTGCTTTAGCACTGACCTGCTTGAGCACTGACCTGCTTGAGCACTGACCTGCTTTAGCACTGACCTGCTTTAGCACTGACCTGCTTTAGCACTGACCTGCTTTAGCACTGACCTGCTTGAGCACTGACCTGCTTTAGCACTGACCTGCTTTAGCACTGACCTGCTTTAGCACTGACCTGCTTTAGCACTGACCTGCTTGAGCACTGACCTGCTTGAGCACTGACCTGCTTTAGCACTGACCTGCTTTAGCACTGACCTGCTTTAGCACTGACCTGCTTTAGCACTGACCTGCTTTAGCACTGACCTGCTTTAGCACGTCAGGGATGGCGGCGGGACGGCCCTCAAGGGTGAGGAGGCTGGAGAAGAAGGTGGCGATGAAGAGCGGCGAGAAGAGGAGCTGGTGGGGTGGGGGGGATGTGAGAGAGAGGGAGGAGCGGAAGGAGCATCGGAAGAGGAAAAGCGGAGAGAGTCAAAGGGTGAGCAGGCTGGAGAAGGTGGGGATGAAGAGCGGCGAGAAGAGGAGCTGAAAAGGGGGGTGTGGAAGTAGAGGGAAGAGGAAAGCGGAGATAGACAGAGGCTGATTGGAAAGGGCGCAGAAGAATGTGGTGACGAAGAGAGGTGAGAAGAGGAGATGATGGGGTGGTGGGGCGAGAGTGGGGATGCAGGGGTCGGAAGGGGCATGCACGTGGGGGAGAACAGGTGGTGACAGGAATTGCGAGGGAAGGGGAGATTCATCAACGGTGGACAGCGGGACGAGGCATGCACGTGGGGGAGGAGAGGCATGCACGTGGGGTAGGAGAGGCATGCATGTGAGCTAGCGCGGGCTTGAGGTGGCATGGGCATGGGCGTGGGGGAAAGTGTGACCTGGTCAAGGGCGAGGCGGATGAGAGTGCCGGGAGTGCCCTGCACTGAGACCACGCGGAACAGCAGCGAGTACCTGCATGTTCAATGCATCGCATGCCATTGGCCATGCCATGCCATGCAATGCCGTGGAGAATGCCACACCATGCCATCCCAAGAAGGAAGGTGTGCGGAAGTTGGGACTAGTGCAGCATGCCGTTTTCAGGGGATGGCACGTCTGGGTCGTAGGGCTTGGAGGAAGCTCAAACAAGCAATGCACAGGGACCTGATGCATCCATTAGAGGGTGTTTTTGAGATTTCTCAAAAACACCCCTCAAACAAGCAATGCACAGGGACCTGATGCATCCATTAGATTAAGAGACGTGTCAAATGAAAAGAGATTCAGAGAGGAAGGAAGGTGAGGAAGGTGGGGTGTGGGTGTGTGTGTGGCAGAGAGTGCGGTCATGAGCTTCCAGACTTTCGAGTCGACTCAAAGGTCATGAGCTTCCAGACTCGGCAGATTTTACATTCTAGAGCTGCTTGCAGTGATCATCAAGAATGGATGATCAGAGGGAGGAGGGAGGGGCAAGGGAGGAAGCAAGTGATGCCTGGCACAAGCTTTTGAGAAGAAGGGTGGTTATTACACGTGCAGGGTGGTTACCAGACGTGCAGGGTGGTAACCCGACATGCAGGGTGGTTACCAGACGTGCAGCGTGGGCCCCAGACGAGGAAAGCAGTTACCAGACGTGCAGAGCAGTTACCAGTCGTGCAGGGTGGTTACCAGACGTGCAGCGTGGGGCCCACTAGCAGCAGCCCCAGCAGGGAGATGGTGGCGGCCCTCCTCGCATCCACCCCGTGCCCTCCCTCCACCACCAGCTGGTGTTGCTCGCCATGGGGTCATACGGTCATGCATGGCATGGCGTGAAGCATGGCATGAGCGAAACCCAAACATCATCAAACATTGTACCATATACCACTCCACAGCTCCTCTGGCATTAGGTGGCACAGACTGGCAGTGACCAGGTTAGAAAAAGCATTGACTGGAATTCACTGTCAATAGATGACATTAACTGGCATTGGATGGCATTGACTGGCATTGACTGGCACTGACTGGCATTGACTGGCATTGACTGGCATTGACTGGCATTGACTGGCATTGACTGACACTGACTGGCATTGACTGGCAGTGACTGGCATTGACTGGCATTGACTGACACTGACTGGCATTGACTGGCAGTGACTGGCATTGACTGGCATTGACTGGCATTGACTGGCATTGACTGGCATTGACTGGCACTGACTGGCATTGACTGGCAGTGACTGGCATTGACTGGCACTGACTGGCATTGACTGGCATTGACTGGCATTGACTGGCATTGACTGGCACTGACTGGCATTGACTGGCATCGACTGGCATCCACTCTTATAAAATGCTGAGCTCTGTGCCACAGAGACCCATATGGGTGCCATGGTTCCACTTGTTCCTCTCCCGCGGCCTCCCCCCCCCGCACGCGCGCACCTGGCAGAAGAGGTCCCCCAGCAGGTTGAGCAGCATGGATGTGCCCGCCTTCACCGCCAGGGGGTGGCGGTCCAACAGGTGCAGGTACCTGCGCGGCACGGCACGCACAGGGGGGACGAAAAGGGGAGATGCGAGGATGGATGTGCCCGCCTTCACAGCTAACGGGTGGCGGCCCAACAGGTGCTTGCTGTGCTGCATGCTTGCTGTGCCGCATGCTTGCTGTGCCGCTTGCTTGCTGTGCCCCATGCGTGCTGTGCCCCATGCGTGCTGTGCCCCATTCGTGCTGAGTGTCTAGTAGAGTGTGCATGCCACGGCACACCAGCCCGCATGTCACATTTGGTCAAAAGCTCATACCGCCCTCACATGCCGCACATGACACTCACATTCCCCAAACCGAGTTTTTGTTATCTCCATTGCCATCTCCTCCCCCTTCCCCTCCCCCTCCTCCTCCCCCTCCTTTTCCGCCTTCCCCTCCGCCCACTCCACCTCCACCGCTTCCCCCTCCCGTCTCTGTATTCTCTGCTCGTACCCGTACCGTCCTGCACCGTTCTCCACCGCTCAACGCTCCTGCTTGAGAGTAACTCGAAGCAGATGTGCTTAGGCTATGTGGCTCCGTAATCCCCGCGATCCGCGGCGGGAATTGCGCTGCCTTGCCGCTTCGGCCTGTTCCCAGCGGCATCGACCGTCCGTTCTCGTGCGAATGGACGGCTGCGATGACGGTTTCGCGGGCCGGCAGAGATCGGTGCGCAGGGGCGGCAGGGAGGCAGCGGCGCGACCGGCAGCACCCGGCTGCGCGCACGGCGCATCGTGAACCCGTGCCGCTGAGTGCGGGCATAGCGGAAATTGCGCATGGTGCGACGGCATTGGCGGCGCGTGCGGTGATGGCGGCTCTCGCGCTCATTGCGGCGGGCGCTACCATTCGGGGAAGAGGGGGGAGATGGGCGGAAAACAGGAACCAGGTGCGAGGAGGAGAGAGACCAAGGGAGAGGAAACGAGGCGAACTGGTCAGCACGTACAGCGGGAAACTTGGTAGAGAATCTGAGGAAATGAGGGATCGATGTGCGATCTTCTTAGCGACAGGAGCGATCGAGGAAAGGTTCGAAGTCGGGACTTATCAGGGGGAGGGAGCGGGCAAGCGAGAATAGCGACGAAAGAAAGCAGGCATTTGCGGGAGGAGTGTTGTGGGTGGACGGGATTCACAAATAAACTGAGAAGCACTCAAGGTAGAAAACCTCAGATATTCATGTACTACTGAAGAGTAATGAATGGAAGAATAACGAGGTATAAATATGCAAAGTCGAGCTAGGCGATGACTTCGGGATATTTGAGGCTCGGAAAGCGGTGCGGTGGCGGCTCGGAAGTGGTTCGGGGCGAAATTGTAGGCCGAACCAGCTGACGCGAAACATTCGGTATGTATTCGCTAAACTACTTCTACAGTTTGAAAATATATCTCGGTAGAACAAGTGTTTGCTTTCCATGGAAAAATACCCTATGATTATGCGACACTTCTGTAGTTTTACTCTGAATCAAGCCTCTATTGTGTCATGTTCTAATGTAGGTCATCAGGTATCAAAGGCCAGTAACACTCAAAACCATTCAGTCAAACCGCTTTTGAAGGCCTTGTACAACTTAGGGCGTGTTCATACGGCCTCATATCAGGAAACCTCGTATCAAGAATGTACTTTTTGCCTGGTAAAACTAGCGAGAGGTTTTGGGCTTAGGGGAATTTTCAGTGTGAGCCTGATACGAGGTTCTCTTGATACGAGGTGTAGGAACACGCTCTTACATACCGTATGGTGTGTACATATATACAGATGAATAAATATACTGCTGCACCATACCAAGTGAGGAACGTTGCCTGAGGGAAGAAACAATACGCAGTTACTCATAAGTACAACTATATATTTTACTGCGCACACATTGTCCTATTTGGTCCGCACCAGACATACCCTTCCCGCGCTGATTAAACCCGGCGTACACAGCGGGTTGCACGCACAGCTGCCAGGCAGCACCAGCGCACCCCGCTGGCTGGTGCTGCAGGCAGTCCGCCCAGGGGAACTTGGTGGGGCCCAAGTCGAGATCGTGCAGCCGCGTGGAGAAGCCGTGTGCATTGTTGTCCGCACACAGGCGCTGACAGAGGGAGGGTGGGGGAGGGGAAAGGGGAGGGAGAGGGGGGGGGGGGGGGATTGGAAAAGAAGGGAAGAGAGATGAAAGTGAGAAGAATCATGTGTTGTCAGTCCAGGCACGTGCAGAAGCTGTGCATGCTGCATGGTGATGGTGGACAGAGGGAGATGAGAAGAGATGTGACGGGCAGGCCTCTCGATATCAGGGTGAAACACCCTTATGGCCCTTACTATAAGGGTGGGTTTAGGTGTTCACCCTTGTTTTTAAAAGTTGTTTTATGAGGCACCCTTAGCTGAAAAAGTGCTCTTTTTGTTAACACTGATATTTAAGACATGTTGGGTGTACTCGCCCTGATGACAAAGACTAGTGTCGCATACCACCCTGATGCGATTTGACGCGGGGGGGGGGTACTGACGAGATTTGGGCCGCGATTAGCGGCGTTTTGCCTGAGTCAGCAGATGTGCGCATCGCCTAGACGGCTCGCGTCGCCACTGCCACAGTCCCGTCAACTGTACCTGGCTCACCTGCAATTTTCCCAGCTGGCAATGCCGCGCAGCCACACGCTCGTGCTTCGTGCAGGAGGAGTGTCCTGCTTGGAAGCATCTCTTCTTCCCTCCCCCGCAGGCCCCCACCCACCGACCAGTCTCACGCACGCACCCAACCCCAGTCCTCCTCGTTTCATTTCTCAACCCTTCCTCCTCGCTATCTCGTCTAGTCTAGGGTTTGCAAACCACGCCACCGCTCTCTCATACAGCTAGTGTAGGCCCAGCTCCTGCATCCACCCTCTGGGCCTCGCCATGGCTGCTGACGAACCCTGTGATGGTGACGACGAAGCACGTCGTCAAGTCCAAAATTCACCCCCGCGAACGGGCCTCAGCTTTCTACGAACCCCCGCTAAAAATCTGCCAGATCCGGAGCCCGTAGTTGCTTCTACCGAGAATGAAACCCGCGTGGATGAATCAGGGCATGACCGGCGCTCACCTGAAGTTTGCACTACAACGACTGAACCTTCCCCTCCAGAAGCGACGGCTCCTGTAACGGAGATCGGCGTTGCGGCTGGCGACTCTGCGAACAAGAAGCGTAATTATTCAAGCGGTGGCAGTGCTAAGCAGTGGTGGCGACAACCGAAGCTCTCTTTGAAGCGGGCCGCACGCCCAACCCCACGAGTGGAGGACCAGAGGAGTGATGACGAGGAGGATGATGACGGTCATCTCTTTGAAGAGATGGCCCGTTACCCCGAAGTCGCTTTCGCTAAAGCGCATAATCGTTTTAAGACGTCATGGGAATCTTTGTTTCCGTGGCTTATTCTAACTCGTGATGACGTTGGCTTCCCTATTTTGAGATGCAGCACGTGCTTGGAGCATGGAGCGGAAGGCGCGAAAACGGCATATGGCAAGGGAGGCAGTGGAGGGCGTGACATGCAGAAGGGGAGCATCCGGACGCACCAGCGCTCCACCGCACACCAGGACACACACGCCAAGATGAAGTCGAAGGAGAGCCGGAAGCTTCGTCAAACGTTGCTGAGCGAGTTCGAGGGGTTGGATCGCAGCACGCTTCACATCATCACCGCTCTGAAGACTACCGTGTACATCTGCAAGTCGGAAGCGCCAATCACCTCCTACGTGTGCACCATCAAGTTCATGACCGAGCTCGGAGTCCCGAACCTTCCCTTGGATTCCAAGGGAAACTACTTTTCGGAGTAAGACTCGCGGTATGTGCAGTGGTTGTACTAGTTCCGTTACCACTTACTTGATTGGCAGCGTGCTAACCTCTATGGATGTCTCATGCAGGTACGGTTTCGGGGAGTTACTAGATGCTGCCGCGAAGTACATGCGGCAAGAGCAACTGAAGCAGATCGAGGCGAGCCCGTACATCTCCATACAGCTCGACGAGAGTACTGACAAGGCGCGCGGCAAACACCTGATCGTCTACGTGACCTTCATGAAGGACGGGGCGAGCGTCTGTGAGTTCCTCACGCTGCTGCCAGTTGACAAATGTGACGCGGCAAGTCTCGTCGACGTGCTACTGACCCACCTTGACGCCGTGGGCATTGACATGTCCAGAATCGTCGGAATCAGCACCGACGGCGCCAGAGTCATGGTGGGCACCAGCAATGGTGTTGTGGCACGACTCCGGGCGAGGAACCCCTATCTCGTGTCGTGCCACTGCGTCGCACATCGGTAAGTCCGTCTGTGTTATTGGCGTTAAGGCAGGTGTGTAGTGTTGATCATGTACTGCCCACTCACTTCAATCGCACGTTTTCTCTGTTCTACCTTGAGCAGGGAGGCGTTGGCCGCGAAGGATGCCGCTGAGAAGGTGCCGGAGTTCAACATCATAGACCAGGCGGTGCGCAACGTGGCGGAGCAGCTATCTAGGTCGAGCAACTGGCACCGGCGATTCGAGCACCTTCAGGAGTACATCTGCGAAACCAACTTGGAGCTGCAGGGGATCCACGACGTGCGGTGGCTCTCTAGAGGGGAGGCAATCAAGCGGTTCGCCAAGGTTCTGCCGGCCACGATCGTCCTGCTACACGATTTCAAGCACGCGCTCTATGAAGCCGTCACCTCTTTCAAATTCCACTTCATGCTTTTCTTCCTTGCAGACATTCTTGCCGTGCTCAACGAGCTCAACGCCAAGTTCCAGAAGCAGCAGGTGACGTGTGGGGTGTTGAGGTTGTACATGTTGGCCGTTGTTTCCCACCTTGGTACTCCGGTTCCCAGCCTTGTTCCCGGTTGTTGTAAGTGGCGGTTGTGTGCCGTTGTTAACCATCGTACATCAACCTCTGGCAGCAACTCCTCATCCCACCCACACCCACTCACAGATTGACATCACGGTGGTCGCGGGGGAGGTGTCGCTCGCTTGCCGGACGATCGAAGTGCGTTACGTGGACTGCGAGGACCGTTTCGGCAACGATCAGTCGCCCATGCTCTGCCAAAAGACCAACTCGTTGCAAGCACGCTCTCGCTAAGATGGCCCAGGTTGTGACGCATCTCTCAGTAGGGCACAGAGTCAGCTGTATTGAAATCACTTTTGAGAATTCTCAAAAGTGATTTCAATGTACGGCACAGAGTGAAGCACCAGTCAACGTCCCATGAGGGGGTTGATCGACTGGCTGTCTGTTTGATTCCCCTAAGGCACTCGACTCAAGTGAGCGCTGCCTGCCTGCCTGCAAGGCGTACCTGGGGGAACTGAATGCCGTTCGCCCTCCCTGCAGCCGTGCCCCATGCTGATGTGTACTCCGCCACAAACACTGCCTTGTTCGCCTGCCATGGGGGAAGGGGCGAGGGGCGGGAAAGGGGGAGTGAAAGGGGGGAGGGTGGATGGAGGGGGACCCAGAAGGTTGCGCTGATGTATACTCAACCACAAACACCGCCTTGTTCGGCCGGGCAAGCACGGGGCAATTGGGCCACTCAGAAGGGCACAGAGGCGGTGTGGCGAGCAAGGGGGCGGCGGGGGCAGGGGAGCCTGGGCGGTTGGATGCATGACGTTGAGCAATCCCATCCCAACCGCCTTCCCACCTTGATAACCCCTGGTAGAGCAGGGAGCGTGTGAACTGGTGCCGGCCCTAATAGTCCCTGTCGATGCGTTTCCCTGCTCTTCCTCGTTCCCCATGTTCCTCCCAACGCCTCCTTCCTCTCGCCTAAACGAACACGTTGACACACCCCCCTCTCATAGTTGCACTCCCCCCCCCCCCCCCCTCATATTTCCCCCAGCCCCTCTCCTGTTCATATTTCCCCCAGCCCCTCTCCTGTTCATATTACCCCCAGCCCCTCTCCTGTTCATATTTCCCCCAGCCCCTCTCCTGTTCATATTTCCCCCAGCCCCTCTCCTGTTCATATTTCCCCCAGCCCCTCTCCTGTTCATATTTCCCCCAGCCCCTCTCCTGTTCATATTACCCCCAGCCCCTCTCCTGTTCATATTTCCCCCAGCCCCTCTCCTGTTCATATTTCCCCCAGCCCCTCTCCTGTTCATATTTCCCCCAGCCCCTCTCCTGTTCATATTTCCCCCAGCCCCTCTCCTGTTCATATTACCCCCAGCCCCTCTCCTGTTCATATTTCCCCCAGCCCCTCTCCTGTTCATATTTCCCCCAGCCCCTCTCCTGTTCATATTTCCCCCAGCCCCTCTCCTGTTCATATTTCCCCCAGCCCCTCTCCTGTTCATATTTCCCCCAGCCCCTCTCCTGTTCATATTTCCCCCAGCCCCTCTCCTGTTCATATTTCCCCCAGCCCCTCTCCTGTTCATATTTCCCCCAGCCCCTCTCCTGTTCATATTTCCCCCAGCCCCTCTCCTGTTCATATTTCCCCCAGCCCCTCTCCTGTTCATATTACCCCCAGCCCCTCTCCTGTTCATATTTCCCCCAGCCCCTCTCCTGTTCATATTTCCCCCAGCCCCTCTCCTGTTCATATTTCCCCCAGCCCCTCTCCTGTTCATATTTCCCCCAGCCCCTCTCCTGTTCATATTACCCCCAGCCCCTCTCCTGTTCATATTTCCCCCAGCCCCTCTCCTGTTCATATTTCCCCCAGCCCCTCTCCTGTTCATATTTCCCCCAGCCCCTCTCCTGTTCATATTTCCCCCAGCCCCTCTCCTGTTCATATTTCCCCCAGCCCCTCTCCTGTTCATATTTCCCCCAGCCCCTCTCCTGTTCATATTTCCCCCAGCCCCTCTCCTGTTCATATTTCCCCCAGCCCCTCTCCTGTTCATATTACCCCCAGCCCCTCTCCTGTTCATATTTCCCCCAGCCCCTCTCCTGTTCATATTACCCCCAGCCCCTCTCCTGTTCATATTTCCCCCAGCCCCTCTCCTGTTCATATTTCCCCCAGCCCCTCTCCTGTTCATATTTCCCCAGCCCCCTCCCATTTATATTTGCCCTGACCCCATGGCATCCACAACCCCCCTCGCCCAGCCATTCCTCCCTTCCCAAACCCCCTTTCCCTCACCTTAATGAACACGTTCGCATGGTCACACTCGTATTTGCCCTTATACCACCCCCCACTGATCCAGTCACTAAACGCGTTACACTCCTCCACCAGTGCAGTTAGGAAAGGGAAGCAGCCAGAAAAGGTGCTGCACTCCCCTCCCCCGCCATCCCTCCTCCAACCCTCTTCTTTCTCTCCTCTCACCTTTATGAACACATTCACATAGTCGCACTCGTACTTGCCCTTGTACCACTCCCCACCGCTCCAGTCACTGAACGCGTTGCACTCCTCCACCAACGCCCAGTCGAACTTGTTCACCAGCGCCCCTGCAATGGTCAAAGCATTCTTGAGCCCCACACTCATGCCGTGCCTGTTAGAAGGGGGACACTTGCGGATGGAAGGAAATAGCAGTCACTGAACGCCTTGCACTCCTCTCCTCCATCAGCGCCCAGTCAAACTTGCCCATCAGCGCCCCTGCGATAGTCAAAGCATTCTTGAGACCCACACTCATGCCGAGCCTGTTCCACGTGGGGGGGATGGACACATGGACGGGGAAAGGAAGGGGCAGGCACTGAACGCCCCTGCAATGGTCAACGCATTCTTGAGCCCCACACTCATGCTGTGCGACTAGCGCCCTTGCAATAACACCCAGTCGAATCGAACCTAGAGACCAACGTCCCTGCGATGGTGAGGGCGTTCTTCAGCCCTACGCTACACTCATGCCGTGCCTGTTGAAGGGAGGCGGGAGAGAAGGGAGGGAAGGGGCAGTGAGAGAACATAGCCACCAACGTTAGTCACCAACGTCCCTGCAATGGTGAGGGCGTTCTTCAGCCCCACACTCATGCCACGCCTGTTGAAAGAGAGGGGGGTGACACATGGTGGAGGGGAACCGTGAATCCGTTACATCACGTGAGCTTCAGATAACAGCACGTTCTTATTGCATGCTGGATGCCATTGTGTTCAGTTGTTGCCACAGACAGAGACTCGCCACTCAGATAGCGTAGCTTCAGAGAACAGCACCACGCCACCCCCACCCCTGCACGTTATCTGAAGATAACAGCGGCACAGATTCCACGACCCACGACTTGCTTCTGAGCACAGAACTGACTTTTGAGTCGACTCAAAAAGCAAGCCGTGGATGATCATTGATTCAGATCCTCTACACAATACAACGGATTACACAACACGCCACCCGCCTGTGCACGGAGAATCGATCCAAGAGTTGTCTTCAGCACAGTCACATTGCAAGGAAATGAGCGCTCAACACACCACACTCGCCCACCCACCTGTGCACCGTGTGAGCACTTCACGCGTTGTACCACTCTAATCCTTCTTGCTGATACAAATACAGCAGGATGATCACATACACCTGGTGAGCAGAGGCAGCCACACATAGATGAGCGCCGAGAACACAACACCCATGCATGCCCACCCACCTGCTGCAGGGTGATTTTAAAGAATTCTCAAAAACACCCTGCACGGTGCCTGCTATCCAAGAGTTGTACCGAATCTGGTCCTTCTTGCTGATGCGCACGCGCCTAACAAAGGCTAGCAGTCACCCATACGAAAGCAATGAACACTCAACACCGCATGCCGCCCACCCACCTGTGCACGGTGTCTGCGATCCAAGAGTTGTACCGAATCTGGTCCTCCAAGCAGTCACATTCCAATGAAAGTAAACTCGCGCTCAACACACATCACAACACGCCCACCCACCTGTGCACGGTGTCTGCGATCCACGAGTTGTACCGAATCTGGTCCTTCTTGCTGATGCGCACACTCCTGGAGAAGGGTGGCAGCCACACATTCAGGCGGTTGCTGTACGCGTCGATGTTGTCCGGCTCGATGCCATCACACTCCTTGCTTGCTGCTAGCTGCGACCACGAGGGGGGAACCAGGAGACAAAGGGGTGAAGAGGGGGTTGTTCTTCTGGCAGTTGCTGCTGTAGGCGTCGATGTTGTCCGGCTCGATGCCATCACACCCCTTGCTTGCTGCTAGCTGCGACCACGAGGGGGGAACCAGGAGACAAAGGGGTGAAGAGGGGGTTGTTCTTCTGGCAGTTGCTGCTGTAGGCGTCGATGTTGTCCGGCTCGATGCCATCACACCCCTTGCTCGCTGCTAGCTGCGACCACGAGGGGGGAACCAGGAGACAAAGGGGTGAAGAGGGGGTTGTTCTTCTGGCAGTTGCTGCTGTAGGCGTCAATGTTGTCCGGCTCGATGCCATCACACCCCTTGCTCGCTGCTAGCTGCGACCACGAGGGGGGAACCAGGAGACAAAGGGGTGAAGAGGGGGTTGTTCTTCTGGCAGTTGCTGCTGTAGGCGTCGATGTTGTCCGGCTCGATGCCATCACACCCCTTGCTCGCTGCTAGCTGCGACCACGAGGGGGGAACCAGGAGACAAAGGGGTGAAGAGGGGGTTGTTCTTCTGGCAGTTGCTGCTGTAGGCGTCGATGTTGTCCGGCTCGATGCCATCACACTCCTTGCTTGCTGCTAGCTGCGACCACGAGGGGGGAACCAGGAGACAAAGGGGTGAAGAGGGGGTTGTTCTTCTGGCAGTTGCTGCTGTAGGCGTCGATGTTGTCCGGCTCGATGCCATCACACCCCTTGCTCGCTGCTAGCTGCGACCACGAGGGGGGAACCAGGAGACAAAGGGGTGAAGAGGGGGTTGTTCTTCTGGCAGTTGCTGCTGTAGGCGTCGATGTTGTCCGGCTCGATGCCATCACACCCCTTGCTCGCTGCTAGCTGCGACCACGAGGGGGGAACCAGGAGACAAAGGGGTGAAGAGGGGGTTGTTCTTCTGGCAGTTGCTGCTGTAGGCGTCGATGTTGTCCGGCTCGATGCCATCACACCCCTTGCTCGCTGCTAGCTGCGACCACGAGGGGGGAACCAGGAGACAAAGGGGTGAAGAGGGGGTTGTTCTTCTGGCAGTTGCTGCTGTAGGCGTCGATGTTGTCCGGCTCGATGCCATCACACCCCTTGCTCGCTGCTAGCTGCGACCACGAGGGGGGAACCAGGAGACAAAGGGGTGAAGAGGGGGTTGTTCTTCTGGCAGTTGCTGCTGTAGGCGTCGATGTTGTCCGGCTCGATGCCATCACACCCCTTGCTCGCTGCTAGCTGCGACCACGAGGGGGGAACCAGGAGACAAAGGGGTGAAGAGGGGGTTGTTCTTCTGGCAGTTGCTGCTGTAGGCGTCGATGTTGTCCGGCTCGATGCCATCACACCCCTTGCTCGCTGCTAGCTGCGACCACGAGGGGGGAACCAGGAGACAAAGGGGTGAAGAGGGGGTTGTTCTTCTGGCAGTTGCTGCTGTAGGCGTCGATGTTGTCCGGCTCGATGCCATCACACCCCTTGCTCGCTGCTAGCTGTGGGATGAAGAGGAGAAACGCGGCTAGGAGGAAAATTGCTGACATGGGAGGAGGGTGTTGTTGCGGGTATTGATGCCGGGCTCTATGCCATCGCAGCTGGCTACTAGCTGTGGGCACAAAGCAGGGAGAGGCGAGGCGGTGAGGAGAGGCTTATTGGTGAACTGGGGGGAGGGTACTGCTGGGGTGGTTGTTGCTGTGGGCGGCGATGTTGTCCGGCGACACACTGTCACACACAAGCTGGTTTTTGAGAATTCTCAAAAACCAGATGGTTGTTGCTGTGGGCGGCGATGTTGTCCAGCGACACACTGTCCTTGCTGTCCTTGGGCCATCACACACACCCCTTGCTCGCTGCTAGCTGTGATGAGGAGGGGTGGAGTGGAATCAGAGAATAAGGGGTGCAGAGGGATTTCCCCTTCACTGCACTCCAAGCTTGCCCTTCACTGTTATACAGTTACCGTACATGTAACCATTGCCCCTTCATCACAATCACCACACCTATTCCTTGCTACATCTCCTGCTCCCATCCCTCGCTACAGTCACCTGCCCCCATCCCCTGCTACAGTCAGCAGCACGCGTTTCTCCCTATGATCACCAGCACACGTCTCTCCCTACAGTGTCACCAGCACACGTCTCTCCCTACTGTGTCACCAGCACACGTCTCTCCCTACAGTGTCACCAGCACACGTCTCTCCCTACTGTGTCACCAGCACACGTCTCTCCCTACTGTGTCACCAGCACACGTCTCTCCCTACAGTGTCACCAGCACACGTCTCTCCCTACAGTGTCACCAGCACACGTCTCTCCCTACTGTGTCACCAGCACACGTCTCTCCCTACTGTGTCACCAGCACACGTCTCTCCCTACAGTGTCACCAGCACACGTCTCTCCCTACAGTGTCACCAGCACACGTCTCTCCCTACAGTGTCACCAGCACACGTCTCTCCCTACTGTGTCACCAGCACACGTCTCTCCCTACAGTGTCACCAGCACACGTCTCTCCCTACAGTGTCACCAGCACACGTCTCTCCCTACTGTGTCACCAGCACACGTCTCTCCCTACAGTGTCACCAGGCCCCCCCACCTCTCGCTACAGTCACCTGCACGCGTTTCTCCATGATTTGCTTCACCACCGGGTCCTTCACGTTCAGCCACCGCTCCCCCGGCCACCACTTGCGGCACCACCGGTCCTGAAGGGGTGGGGTGGCACATGCGGTTGAGTGGGGTTAAGTTGGGTTGGGTTGGGTTGGGGGAGTTGACTTGGAGTCGACTCAAGAGCCACTTTGGGCACCACCGGTCCTGATGGGGACGCATGTGGTTGAGGTGGGGAAGCTGACAATCCGAAAAAAGGTGTAAGCACTGTAGGAGTTGTAGAAGCAGCAGACCACCACGCACTCCCTCTCTACCCCCTCTCTCTGCACTCACCAGACACACTCGCCCGTGCGCTTGGGAAAGCTGTCAGCATAGTCAGGGCGGTAACTCTCAAAAGTGCCGAAGCTGGCGCAGCACACCACCTTCAAGTGGGAACTAATTTTACTCAAAATCCACGCATCCCCTCTCTAACCCCTATCGCCCCTCTCCAGACAGACTCGCCCCTTGTTGACGCCCTTGGGGATAGCTGCTAGAGTCGGAGCAGTAGCTCTCAAACGTGCCCAGGCTGAAGTCGCACACCACCTTCTTGTGTCTTCTGAGTCAACCCCAGGATCCACACACCCTCTCCCTCCCTAACCCCTCTCTGCACCCACCAGGCACACTCACCAGGCACACTCACCAGGCACACTCACCAGGCACACTCACCAGGCACACTCGCCCCTTCTTGACGCGCTTGGGAAAGCTATCAGCATCGGGGTAGTAGGTCTGAAACGTGCCGAAGCTGAAGTAGCACACCACCTTCAAGTGAGTATTACGCTGACCCAAATCCACGCACCACGTCCCTCTCTAACCACTGTCTGCACCCACCTCGCACACTCACCTGGTACACTCACCTGGCACACTCACCTGGCACACTCACCTCGCACACTCACCTGGCACACTCGGCCCTTCTTGACGCGCTTCGGGAAGCTGTCAGAATCAGGGCGGTAGCTCTCGAAGGTGCCGAAGCTGAAGTAGCACACCACCTTCTTGCCGCCCGCCTGCAGCGCCGCGATCGTGCTGGGCGGCACACTGAACCCGTCCACGTCATACACCTCCGCGGGGTCAGTGGTATCGATTGAACCTGGGGGTGGGGGAAGGCTTAAGCAAGGTGATGTGTGATTCGAGTCAAATCAAAATTCACGTCATGCACCTCTGCTGGGTCAGTGGTGTCATTGGAGACTGGGGGAGAGGAGGGGGCGAGGGGGTTGGGGGGGGGGGGAAGAGGGGGGTGTTGGGATTCAGCAAGGTGGCTTGCAATCTGAGTCGGTTCAAAAGTCATGCCAAACACCTCTCTGCGAGTCAGCTTGTGTCGATAACCTGGGGGGGGTTCAGCGGGTTAAGAGGCTTAGTGGAAAGAACAAGCAAGGAGGACGAGGCAGGAAACGTGTGGTAGAGAGGAGGAAAGAGGGGAAAGGGGGAGGAAAGAGGGGGGGAGGGGTTGGGGTGGGGAAGGGGCATGTAGGGTAACGCTGTGCTCATCCGTGCAGCGTGGCACACACGTGGATCACAGAAAGAGGAGAAAGGGGATGCGGGAAGGGGGGGGGGGGGGGCGGTTAGGATTGTCCGTTTATGTAGCGAGGAGGAAGCGCGCATCATCCTAAGTCAGGGTCGCGCCGTTTAGGGTTTTCAGAGCGACTACTTGAAACCACAAGCCCCAAAACGACGCAGACTCGTTTTCAACAAAAAACGTTACCCTGTTATACACTCTCATTCGTTCGGCGTGATCTGAAGTACACTACGTCCGCGTTACAGCGTCACGCACCGTCGACGTTAGGGTTAGAGTTGGAGAGCTGCCAGTAGAAGGTGGTACCCGGGGTGGGTTGGAACCACGCCCGGCCGGCTCGCAACTGAAGCGTCAGCGTCAGGACGAAGATCAGCACCGCCTTCTGCCACGTGGCGTTCGCCATGGAACCGCGAAATTAGCTGCTCCGTGCGAATTTAACGGTCAAGCTTCTGAGCATTACGAACATGTGTTACTTCTGGCATTCATGCTGCTTCTGATACGAACTTCGTCTGTGAATGAAACCGCAGACAAGAGAACAGATCTGCCGTTTTACTGCCTACGCGAAATCCAAGCTAACTGGAAGGAAGGAAGCACGGAAGCTTGTGTTGCGGGTGAGCGAGACGTCGAGGCGAGACCGATGATTCTGCAAGTCGTAACCGGGATTTTTGTGATGTATCATGCTTGACGTTTCAAGAATTGCCCAGCCCCAGGTTATACTGACAGAACCGGACGACGTTGCAGCCAGACATTCGCGGCATTGCGGCCACCATCGTTGTTGCGATAATTCTGGTCTCTTTTTTGTTGCGTTTGGCTTTTCTCGGCTGGTCGGCGTTTTTCTTGCAAGTCCCCCTCTCTCCATGCTGCACATCCCGTCTGGCCAGGTTTGTGTCGGTGGCGACGCGAGGCAACGAAAATTAATTCCTCGCCCAATGCGGTTACAGGGGGGTGATTCTCTTCACGAGAGCCTGAACTAATTCGTGCGAAACAATGCCGTGGAACCTGCAGGTGGTGACGTGGACGAGATGGAAAACCAAGGTAAGAGAAATCTCGTTATTCTCAAACAACTGTTTCAAATACACCTAGCTTCCGAGAAATTTAACCATTCATACCAAAAACTCACTCAGGAATAACCCCCTACTTGAACCCAGGTCAGCCTAGAATTTCCCTGCCTTGCACCAGAGCTGGGTATAGGTGATAGATGTATGGGCTGCCAATCTCCACAGCTTTGTCAGTCGATAATAACCTGGGAGCATGGCGAGAGACAAGGATAAGCGCGTGCGACGTGACTCTGCAGGCGACTCCAGCGAAGGTGCGATGCGCTGCGAGTTGTGGCGCGCTGCGAGTTTCGTGCCGCGCGCGTCGCGTCATTACATGACTTCATTGACCGCTTTCGTTGACCGTTTTGTTAATACGCGCGTAGATTTCACTCGCATCTCGCTGTCCTTCGCTCTTCGCCACGCTTTCGTGAGTCAACGTGCTTTTCCATGATTGGTTTCGCCGGATTCGTTTATGCCCTGCCCGTAATTGCCACAGATAGCGAAAGCGAAGAGCGCGCCAGGCGGAGGCACGAGAAGCGGCGGAGGCGCGATGGCGACACGAGGTCGACAAAGGATAAAGACGCATTGAAGGAGCCGAAGGGTGAAGGGCGTAGGAGAAAGGAAGGGCGGGAAGACAAGGACGGTTCGGAGGAACGAGAGGGGAGACCGACGGAGAAGAGAGATTCGAGGAGGCGAGATGTGGCGGAGGGAGAGCGGGAGGAGCGAGAGGAGAGGGGGAAACGAGAGGGTAAGGTGGAGGGAAGGGGGAAGAAAGAGGAAAGGAGGAAACGGAAGAAGTCAAAGCGGAGAGAGCGGAGCAGCAGCTTGTCTTCAGATGACGATGACGATGATGCCACGTCAGCTTCTTCGTCGGAGAGTGAGAGTGACGTCAGCAGCAGCGAGGACGAGCGGAGGAGGAGGAAAAAGCGCAAGGAGAGGCGGAAGAAGAAGAAGCTTCTCAAGGAGGCAAAGAAGCTTCTTAAAGGTGAGTGAGGAGGAGGCGAAAAAGCTGGTAGGGAGGTCGGTGGATTTAGGATTAAAGAGTTTTTTTTTCTTCTTTTTTTCTTTTTTGTCGTGAGATTCAGCAGGTACTTCAGTTCCTTCCTGGAGTAATCGCTTTACAACACGCATAAACGGTTCCGCTGAAGCTGTGCTGTCCCGTCCGTGTGCATGTTTGCTGCTGCTTATGGCATGGGGTGCATGGCATGGGGTGCATAACATGGGGTGTATGGCATGGGGGGTGTATGGCATGGGGTGTATGGCATGGGGTGCATGGCATGGGGTGCATGGCAAGGGGCGTACTGCGTGGTTCAGAGCACAAGCGGAAGGGAAAGGAGAAAGGTGGTGAGGAGGCAGGCACAAGAACCAAGGCAGGGGTAGCGGAGGAGGAAGAGGAGGACCTCACACCCAATCCCGAGGTGCGTACACCTAATCCCGAGGTTCGTATCCCGAGGTTTGTACACCCAATTTCGAGGCGTGCACCCAACCCAGAGGTATGCATCAATTGAGCTCGTAGCATCTTTCTTCCGCGCCCCTATTAACAGTCGAGCTCTCTTTTCTTCCTCCTCCTACACTCTGCTCCCTATACTCCACCTACCCCCCTCGTCCCTGCTCACCCCTCTCTCCACTCCACCTCACACTGCAGACTCCCCTCTCCCACCTGTCTTTACTCTTTCTCTGCCCCCTTTGCCCCCCTCTGCCCCCTCTGCCCCCTCTGCCCCCTTTGCCCCCCTCTGTCCCCCTCTGCCCCCTCTTCCCCCTTTGTCCCCCTCTGGCCCCCTCTGTCCACCTCTTTCCCGTCATCCCACACCCCTTCTGTCGTCCTGTGCCCCCGTCGATTACTTCTCTTTTCCTCTTCCAGGTGCCTCAGATCTCCAATGCAGACTCCTTCACCTGCAACGCAACCCCGAGTTTCCACCGAGCTGCACCACTCCAGACGCCTCTTCTTCTCCTCAAAACAGCCCTCACACCCTCTTTCCCTCGTTCCCGCACCCCTTCTGTCCACTTCTCTCCCTCTCTGTCCTCTTCCCCTCTCTGTCCTCTTCCCCTTTCTGCTTTCTTCCACTCTCTGTCCTCTTCCCTTCTCCTGCAGGTGCCCCAAATCTCCGACACGGACTATTTCGCACGCAACCCCGAGTTCTCCACGTGGCTGCTGCAAGCCAAGCGCCTCTTCTTCTCCTCGCTCTCCTCAGAGCAGACCCACGAGCTCTTCTCCCTCTTTGTGCGCACGTGGAATGCCGGCAAGCTCCCCCCCAACTACTATGACGGCTCAATCACTGCTGCTGCTGCTCCTCGCTCCAACCACGACTGGGGGCTTGGAGGACGGGCAGGGGGAGCAGGGGGAGCGGGGGGAGCAGGCGCGGGGGGAGTGGGGGGAGCTGGGGGGTCAGGGGGGGCGGGGGGAGTGGGGGTGTGTGGAATGGTTCCCTGGGGCGCTGGGGGAGCTAGTGGGGGGAGAGGAGGGCGAGGAGGGTTGGAAGGGGAGGATGAGGAGGAGAGCCGGGCGGAGAGGAAAGCGAGGGAGAGGATGGAGAGGAAGCGGGAGAGGGAGCGGCAGGCGATGCGACTTGAGGAGGTGGTTCCGAGGGAGACGGGGCGCGAGGCGGTGATTGCTGAAAGAATGGCGCGACGCAGAGAGAGCGCGAGGGAGAGGGAGCAGAGCCCTGACATGGGGATGAAGGAGAAGGACGTCATGGGCGGAGGGGATGACTTCCAAGCCAGGTGAGGGAAGCACATGTGATGGGCAAGGGGTTAATCTTTTATATGAGAGGGGAGGAAGTAGGTGAGGGAGAGTGCAAGAGAGAGGGAGCAGAGCCATGAGATGGGGATGAAGTAGAAGGATGTTATGGGCGGGGGGGATGACTTCCAAGCCAGGTGAGGGGGGAGGCTAGAGATGAAGGGAATGATGCTTCCTTGTCTACCTGATCCCTACCTAGCCTAGGCACCTACGAAATAGCAAATAGTGGATAATAGGACGCGCCTGGTGGTCTGCTGGATCTGGGTCGAATCTCTAGTTTCCTGTGGATGAGCGAGGGGAATGTGCTGGGGAAGGGGTGTTTTGAGACGTCTCAAAAAATGGATAGTAAGACGCGCTTGGTGGTCTGCTGGATCTGGGTCGAATCTCCGTTGATGGTACTTTTGAGAATTCCCAAAAGTACCATCAATGTACTTTGCTGGATCTGGGTCGAATCTCTAGTTTCCTGTGGCAGCAGAGGGAGAGTGCGAGAGAGAGAGGGAGCAGAGCTTTGACTTGGGGATGAGCGAGGGGGAAGTGCTGGGGGAGGGGGGTGACTTCCAAGCCAGGTGAGCAGCAGAGAGGATGGTGAAGAAGTGGGAGAGGGAGAGTGCGCGAGCGAGGGGGCAGAGGCATGACTTGGGGATGAGCGAGGGGGATGTGCTGGGGGGATGTGCTGGGGGGATGAGCGAGGGGGATGTGCTGGGGGGATGTGCTGGGGGGATGTGCTGGGGGGATGTGCTGGGGGGATGTGCTGGGGGGATGTGCTGGGGGGATGTGCTGGGGGGATGTGCTGGGGGGATGTGCTGGGGGGATGTGCTGGGGGAGGGGGGAGTGGATCCCCAAGCTAGGTGATTGTCGTTTGTGTCACTCAGTCGGCACGCGAGGTGATGTGTAGCGGAAAGAACAAAGAGTGTGAGGTGATGCGTGGAAAAAGGAAAACGTGTTGCGCTATGATATCCATTCGCGCTTGCCCTTGCCCTAATTCTAGTCCTTGTCTTATCCACCTTTCTGCACCCCCTTGCTCCCCAAACCAGGCTGGCCCGGGAGAAGGCGCGCAGGGAGCAGCGGGCAGCGGCCAAGGAAGGCGGGTTGAGGGAGCGCGTGGCGAGCTATGAGGCGAGCGAGAGGGGCAAGATGGAGCAGCTGAAGGCGATGATTGCGATGGCTGGCGGGCGCATCACCATTGCCAAGAGGGCAGACCCTGCTGCTCCTCCTTAGAGAGAGACAGGTAGAGAAGAGAGCGAGCGGGGCAAGATGGAGCAACTCAAGGCGATGATCGCCATGGCTGGTGGGCGGGCGCATCATCATTGCCAAGAGGGCAGACCCTGCTGCTCCTCCTTATCCAGTTGCCACTAGCAAGGGGTTTGTGAGAGAGACTTGTGGGGAAGGAGGAGAGAAAAGAGGGGCAAGATGGAGCAGTGGAGGGCGATGATTGTTATGGCTGGCGGGCGCATCACCATCGCCAAGCGAGCCGATCCCACCGCAGCACCTTAGCACTTGCTACTAGCAAGGGGTTTGTGGAAGAGACTGGTGGGGAAGGAGGGGAGCAGAGGGTGTTTTTGAGAATTCTCAAAAACACCCTGCAGCATCAGAGACTGGTGGGGAAGGAGGGGAGCAAAGAGGGGCAAGATGGAGCAGCGGGTAGCAGCCACGGAAGGGGGGTTGGGGGAGCGAGTGGCGAGCTATGAGGCGAGCGAGTGGGGCAGGATGGCTTTGTGACTTTGGGCTTGCATGATAGTTTGGAAATTTTATTTGGTTATGGGTAAGATGGCCATTCAGTGGCTGGGGACGATTGTTGGAGCGTCTGGAAGGGCATTGCTGGTTGGAAGAGATAGTTGGCCAGTGGGGTGTGGCCAGTGGGGTGTGGCCAGTGGGGTGTGGCCAGTGGGGTGTGGCTAGTGGGGTGTGGCTAGTGGGGTGTGGCTAAGTAGGTGGCAGCATTGTCATGCTGTTGCCTTCGCCAGATGTATGATGGGATGGAGAAAAGTGAAACAGTAGGCACACTGGGAATACTATACGTACTGTACAAATTTATATTTACAGTGATACAGACATACACACACAGCCTTGGTCACACTGGCCCCTTCTCAACACACTATACCTTCAAACAACGACACCAACCAGCTTCTACATTTGACATGCATCATGTTTCAGTGTTCTGGCTGTTGCGTTTCACCCCCCTAGACAATGGCGCACCCATTCTCTCCCGCCAGAGTACTATTGACAAACCAGCCCCTCAGCGCACCAAGATAAAAAAAGCTGGTGAGGAGAACAGCAGAGAAAGCCTGTGGTGCAGCCAGCATTCCATTCATCAATGCCTTGTAACTCGCGGGAATACTGCCGGTGATTTCGTACATGTACCCGACAGACACATTAGCCTCTGGGACCGTGTGTTTGGTCCACGTGTCATCCCCGTTGACCAGCGTGAGTGGCACGTCATATCCCTGGGCTAAGAGTACCTCTGTGGGCCCGTCAGGGTCGCTTGTGTTCACGCCGACTCGGTAGCGAATGCTGTAGTCGTTACTGGTGGTGTTGCTGAGAGGGGGTAAGGAGGGGCAAGGGGGGACAAGGAGGAGAAAGGAGAGGGAGAAGGAGGGGAGATGAGTGGAGAGGAGGGGCAAGGGCGGGTGGGAGGAGGGCAAAGGACGGGCAGGCGCGTATGGGGGGAAACAGGGTGCAGATTTAGATGGGACAAAGTGTTGGATGGTGAGACGAGTGAGGGACGAGGGGACGGGCGAGAAGAGTGAGGGACGAGGGGACGGGCGAGAAGAGTGAGGGGGGAGGGGAAGGGCGAGAAGAGTGAGGGGGGAGGGGAAGGGCGAGAAGAGTGAGGGACGAGGGGACGGGCGAGAAGAGTGAGGGGGGAGGAAAGGGTGAGAGAGTGCGAGTAGGAGGAGAGGGTGAGAGATTGGTGAAAGGAGGAGAAGGAGAGAGATTGGGGGGAAGAGGAAAGGCTGAGAGAGTGGGGAACGGAGGAAAGGGGGAGAGAGCGGGACGAGGAGGGGGGGGGCTGAGGATGGACAGGAGTATCAGAGAATAGGAGGAGACCAGAGGGAGTGAAGAGGGAAGGGAGGGAGGGGATAAGGGAAAGCAGGAACGGTGAGAGTGCGAGAGGGGAAGAGAGGGGTGGAGGAAACGGAGGAGAGGCTTACAGGAAGGCAGCGATAGTAACGCAGCCTGCACCGTACATATCACCAGAGGACCTGGAGTGAACATTCTTGTCCTCAAGCTTTGTCCCCACCACCCCTGAACGATTGTGGGAGTGAAGTCACAGGTGAGGGCGGGGGAGAGATGGTGAGGGTGGGGCAGAGATGGTGAGGTGGGGGAGAGATGGTGAGGTGGGGGAGAGATGGTGAAAGAATGGAAGGGGCTTGAGCAAGGGGGGGAGCAGGCGTGGGAGTGACGGTAAAAAAGGAAGAGAGTCGTGGTGACAGAATCAATGAGCAAGAAAGAAATGGGTTTGCATATGGTGTTGCAGAGAGTGTGGAAGAGCACGGCTCTTGCTAAGAACCCTTTTTCTCAACCAGAAAGTGGGGAGGGTTCTTACCAACTAGAACGAGTGTCTCATTCTTGTCTCCCTCTTTCTCCGCAGGCGCCGGTGGGAGGGGATCTTTCTTGAACTGCCCTCTCGCTGCTCCCGCCTTGAAAGCCGCCGTTGCGAATCCCCCATAGTACCCCTTTGCTGTCATCATTGCATCCACCAGCTCCTTAACAGCCTTGCCATTCGGCAAGGTTGACAGCGCACTCGTTTTAAGCCATGTCCCCGTCAAGGCATAGGTGTATGTAGGTATGAACTTGTATTTCGGGTCCTTCGTTAGAGGGGAAGGCAGCGGAACAGTTTTATTTTTCCACGTGGCTCTGGCTCTGGCAATCTCGAGAACGGTGGTTCCCGCCTTTCCTCCCGCGCCTTGCCCGATGAAGGTGGAGATCGGTACACCCGGTTTGGAGGTGGAGACGATGACGTGGTAGAAGACGTTGTAGTCTCCGTCTAGCCTGACGGATTCAGTCAACGTTCGCCACAAGGGACCGGAAGAAGAAAGAATGACGGGGTTCGCATTGGGAGGGAGATAAAAGCATCAGTGGGAGAGATCAAAGCATCACTTTAGAGAGATGAAAGCATCGCTGAGAGATGAAAGCGTCGCTCAGAGATGAAAGCGTCGCTCAGAGATGAAAGCGTCGCTCAGAGATGAAAGCGTCGCTCAGAGATGAAAGCGTCGCTCCGAGATGAAAGCGTCGCTCAGAGATGAAAGCGTCGCTCCGAGATGAAAGCGTCACTCAGAGATGAAAGCGTCGCTCCGAGATGAAAGCGTCACTCCGAGATGAAAGTGTCGCTCCAAGCTGAAAGCGTCACTCAGAGATGAAAGCGTCGCTCCGAGATGAAAGCGTCGCTCCGAGATGAAAGCATCGCTCTGCTGATCGTTTAGAGAAGCGAAAACATCGCTCAGAGAGATGATCGATAAGAGAAGATGAAAACACCGACTGGAACAGAAATACCAACCTGGATGGGGGGGTTCTTGAGGAAGACGAGCTGGGATTGGGTCAACTATTCTTTGCTGGCCGGCGCAGCGACTTACTCATAGATGGCTAGGCAGATTCGACCGCTGGCGCCGGCGTCGCCCGTGGACCCAACAACTCTGGATCCGCTCAATCGCGCAGCGAGAATCTCTGCGCGGAGGGGAGAGCGGCGGAACATGGGGGAGAGAGCAGAGGTGGTTGGAGAAGTGTGATAAGAATGAAAGTGGGAAGGAGGGCAAACAAAGGACGGATATTCTGAGGAGCGAAGTTACTTCTTGACATGCGGCCTGGGTGTGTGTCTGTATGATATGAAGCTATTTGAGGGCTAGTGCCAGAAATTTTGAAGCTGATCCCTTCAATTCATCCACCCAGACTGTTTTCTCAAACTGCCCCCAAGGTAACCGCCAGGTAACCCTCAGATCTCGATATCCCGCCGAAGCTTCTTGGCGAGATTCGCAAAAGCCTCTCACCCGTCAGATTTCCGAGAGCTTGAGCCTTTTCGGTCTTGGGCAACGGGCAGGGACCCGCGCCAGTGGGTTTATTAATGTTCACGACGACCAACGAGTTCTTTAAGGACGCGAGCGCGTCTTGAAGGGCCGCCTCGTCGGGAGGGGCGGGCGCCGAGTTTGTGGCTGCGCACGTGGAAGACAGCGTCACGTATGGAATAAGTAAGCTCGTGAAAGAAAAAAGTTTCAGAGAACCAAATGAGATTAAAGGGATGAATTTCCTGCGGAAGTTGCTTTCAGAGATTTTACAACGCCAGGTACAAATGCCGCGACACTCACCGCCGAAACATGCGGCGACGACTAAGAAAACTATCGTCACGCCATGGTGATGCTGGAGCCCCATTGCGGACTGAACAACTAGCTGGTGAATCGATAGTTTTGGCTTGTGAGGTGAAAATACAGAATGAATGCTCAATTGCAGAAATGAGCAGCCGAGCGGTGTTTATGCTTGGCAGGAATGGGTATCTCAACAATGCGAGGGCGTTACGAAGCCGTTCAGTACGGTGCCGCTTTGTAACAAAACGCTGAAAAGTGCCTTGGTTCCGTGAGGCATGGATTTGAATGCTCTGCTTCCAAGATTTGCGCGCTGCGGGAAACATTTGAGTTGAGAATGCGCTGTCAGCAGATTTGAATGCCCTGCTTCAGGTGGACGCACTTGGCGGGGTACCTGGTGGGTGTGCCGAGGTTGAGGAGGGTACACATGATGCCTGATTGAGCCCCTCCCGGTTGCCTTGTGAAGGGGGCGTTTAAAGATGTATCGTGCATTTCGCATATCAATTCGCAGCTACAATTGATGCCCAACCAGTGCACGCGGATTTGCCTTGTGCCGGATGGAAACGCTGCACCAGAGGTTGTTTCCCCAGCCTGTTGCTCCCACGTTATAAGCGCGTCGCGTGGTTATCAACCAATAGTAACGAACAGACCGAGGTCAAGCAGAAGAGACTGAAGTCAAATAAGGTAACAGATCTTGTTTATAAGCACCTGCGAATCCTTTTTAGCTAGCTGCGAATTGACGAAACTTATGCGAAAAGCCCGTTACAGCTTATACGCCCCCTTCACAAGACAACCGGGAGGGGCTCAAACAGGCATCAATTGTAGCTTAAAAGAACTCGCAGGTGCTTATATAAATGATCGGTAACCTTATCCGTTGACATTTTGACTTCAGTCTCTTTAGTTTGACTTCAGTCTGTTCGTTACTATTGGTTAATAACCACGCGACGCGCTTGTAACGTGGGTGCAACAGGCTGGGGAAAAACCTCGGGTGCAGCGTTTCCATCCAGTGCAGAGCAAATTCGCGTGCATGGGGTGGGCATCATCTGTACTGTAGAACTGCCAGGCGTACCCCTGGAGTGGGAAAAGCTTCAGGTACTTCTGTAGAGTCTCACCTGCCCAGGGTTGACGTCGATCTGCTTTGCAAAACTGGGTGAATATAGACACTAGAAGAGGTGTCCGGTCTGAACACAAGACACAAAGGTAGACAAGTCGGGAAACTTTTAGGGGTCAGTCGGGCAGCCTTGCATGAACAGCGTGTCAAATCCAAACCGTCATCGTCGCCGCGCAGACCACGGAGATTCGACCAGCATCCAAGATTGATAATTTTAGGCGATGATGACTCCAATCCAATTTCATTGGAGCATTTGAGCGTGTCGTGTGCTCTGCACAGGCTCCGCGGGAGGTGCCTGCCTGTTGTCGTCGTCAGCGCAGGTGCCGCTGCTCCGTAACAGCAGAAGCTGTGAAAGATATTGTTTTTACTTTACGGTGTATACCCAGTTTGTTATGAGTTGTAATCAAAGAGTGCATGGTAACGCATCAAGTTCACTTAATGCAGAATCCAACTTACAGGATCCCAATCTTGGAGAGAGAACCCAACTTACAATATTCCACTTTGTGAGAGAGAGGACCTCACCTATCAATTTGAAAATTCTGCCCGATATTTATTGGCGAACAACCTGTTTGCTGCGCCGACCCTAGATCAATGGGTAAGAGAGCAGAGTACCAGAGGCAGGAGCAACCAGCAGTGCATGTGTGCTGGGTGCTCCAGAGTGTGGATTTGCTGAAACACAGACAGTAGGTGCAGGTACACTGAAAGAGCGACAAAAAAACAAATGGATTACCACCGGTATCTCTGCCCCACACATACCCCGATCAACCAACCTTAAGTTGTCGGACCTCCAACGGGGCCTAAAGCCCTTTCTAGGGTCCCTTATTAAATATAAACTGCCATAACCTTTGACGTATACGGTGCTGCACTATTTGCTGGAACTCGCAACAATGCTGCTCAGCTGAGCCCTGACGACGCCAAGTGGTGGCTCGTAGGAGTGATCTAGGAGTGCACGACGGAAATGAGTTTGTCCACCAGCCCCTCGCGTGCCTTCTTGTCAAACGGCTTGTCCCCCACATAGAGCTCAAAGAGCGCTCGGGATATAAGCGCGCTCTTAGTGGATCCCATGTACTTGCCATCAACTGGTGCAAGGGGGGAAGTTGCATGGGGGGTTGGGGGTGGGAGAGGGGGTGGGAGAGTTGCAGGGAGAGGATGAGAGACTGGTCGAGAATGAGAGGGAATGAGAGGGGATGGGGGGAATGGAAGCGAATGAGAATTCGGTACAAGTGCAGTCGCAGCAAAATCGTGTAGAGACGAATTGTCGATCGGAGCAAAGCGGCAAGGAAAGGGTGAACGTGAGAAGTGCTGCGGTGTGTGGTTAGCAGAAACCAGTGAGACACGAGGTTGGTTCTTGCTCCACATTTATGCTTGTCCAGTGCTGCTCGGTCATGAAGGAGAGTGATGGATCATGGGGAGAGTGATGGCTCATGGGGAGAGTGATGGATCATGGGGAGAATACTGCTCTATCTGCTGGCATGGCGACTCCGTGCCAGAGTGCTCACTCTTATGTCGCTAGCGTGTGGCCTTTGCGCCCTTGGCGCTACTAGCCTTGCTTGCTGTCTCTCTTCCAGACTGATTTTCGTCTCTAGCCCGAGCGGACTCTTTGTCTCCTGCCCAAGCAGACTCACTTTTCGTCTCTAGACCAAGCAGACTCACTTTTCGTCTCTAGCCCAAGCAGACTCACTCTTTGTCTCTAGCACATGGCCTGGGCGGCGAGTTATGTCAATGACCGTGCCCCGATGCAGCTTGATGTCGTTGGTGAACCACTTGGTGAAACTGGGCGGAGAAAGGGGGAGGGAGAAGAGGGGGGTGTGGGTGTAGTGGGGAGGAAGGGGTACAGGAGTATTGGGATGCAGCTTGATGTCGTTGGTGAACCACTTGGTGAAACTGGGCGGAGAAAGGGGGAGGGAGAAGAGGGGGGTGTGGGTGTAGTGGGGAGGAAGGGGTACAGGAGTATTGGGATGCAGCTTGATGTCGTTGGTGAACCACTTGGTGAATGGGGAGGCGGGTTGGGGTGGGGTGGGGTGGGGTGAGGTGGGGTGAGTGGTGTTTGGGGAAGGGGGAGGGGGGAGAGGAGTCTAGCAGCAAGAAAAGCGTTGTGTGGCCTGGCCCCGTGTGGAGAATTCTTTGCCAGATATTTCTAACGCGCCTCAAAAGGAAATTCTGCAATAAACTTTGTAGCAGACGCGGTCAAGGGTGTTCCTACCCGGAGACCCAATGCGGTCTAGCGCTGCATGCAAGCCGCATGCCCATCCCCCCCTCAGTTCCTACACCCAGACAGACTGCCATGTCATCATTGTTCAGCCCTGCCCTGCCAGCCCCCACCCCCACTCAGCTCCTACACATGATCAGCACCAACATGCACGCCGGTCCACATAGGCCCTTCACGGGGGCTTTAGAGCTCTAACACACAGGGAAAGCCCCCATGTACATAATAAGCACCAGCATGCATGCCCCCATGCACATAATGAGCACCAGCATGCATGCCCCCATGCACATAATGAGCACCAGCATGCATGCCCCCATGCACATAATGAGCGCCAGCATGCATGCCCCATGCACATAATAAGCACCAGCATGCATGCCCCCATGCACATAATAAGCACCAGCATGCATGCCCCCATGCACATAATGAGCACCAGCATGAATGCCCCCATGCACATAACGAGCACCAGCATGCATGCCCCATGCATTCACTCACCTGTGCAGCAGGTCAGTCGGCACCCCCCCACTCAGCCTCTTCATGCGCCCTTGTGTGCGCTACATACAAGCCGAGCCCCGATGCACATGATAAGCACCAACGAGCATGCACCAACCAAGTAAATGGTAAAAACGCAATGTTGTGTGCGTGCCGTGCCATGCCATGCCATCCGCGCTCACCTGTGCAGGCAGCAGCTCCGGCATGTAGTGTGGATCGATCTAGACTCTTAGTAGGCTTGCAGCGGCTCGAAGCCATCCTTTCTCACCTGTGCAGCAGGTCGGTCTGCGGCACACCCCCACTGAGCTCCTTCATGCGCCCCCCACTCAGCTCCCTTTGTCCTCGGCCCTCGCACACACCAAGCCATGCACCAAGTACACAGTAAGCAGCAATGAGCTCTGTGCCCCATGCGCGCTCACCTGTGCAGCAGGTCGGTCTGCGGCACCCCCCCACTGAGCTCCTTCATGCGGCCCCCCAGGGAATCGTTGAACGCCTCCCGCACCTGCCCCATCTTCAGATGCCTGCCCGCAGAGGGGGTGGGTGGGGATGGGATGGGAGGGGTGGGGATGGGAGGGGTGGGGAGGGTAGGGGATGAGAGGGGAGGGGAGGGGAGAGGAGGGGAGGGGAGGGGAGGGGAGGGGCGGGGAGGGGAGAGGAGTTTTGAGTGGGCGTGTCGTCTCATTGCTCGTTGAACGCGGCCTGCACCTGCTCCATCGCCAAGTGCTTGTCACCAAAGGGGAGGGGACTTTTGAGTCGCGTGAAACACCACCTCGTCACCTGGCAGGATGCATGGCAGGAGGTGCATGGAGGTGCATGGAAGAAATAAATAGTGATGGCATGTCATAAATGACACGTCATCGGGCGTCACAGAAGATGACAAGGCGCACAGCCATGGTGACGTCAGCAGTGACGTCACAATTGACACGTCATCAGGAATCGTCACCTGTAGAAGATGACGAGGCGCACGGCCATGGTGACGTCAGCGGTGATGGCGTCCTCCACGAGCCACCGGCTGCCTTTGAGCGCCTCCCCCTTCATCCCCCCGTACTTGCTGCTCAGCTGCTTTTTCAGGGCCGCCTCGTCCACATACACGCCTGAGGATAATGGGAATGGGAGGAAGAGGGAGGGGAGGGGAGGGGAGGGGAGGGGAGGGGAGGGGAGGGGAGGGGAGGGGAGGGGAGGGGAGGGTAGGGGAGCGGGATAAGAGAGCCACCGGCTGCCTTTGAGCGCCTCCCCCTTCATGCCCCCGTACTTGCTGCTCAGCTGCTTCTTCAGGGCCGCCTCGTCCACATACACGCCTGAGGATAATGGGAATGGGAGGAAGAGGGAGGGGAGGGGAGGGGAGGGGAGGGGAGGGGAGCGGGATAAGAGAGCCACCGGCTGCCCTTGAGCGCCTCCCCCTTCATGGCCCCGTACTTGCTGCTCAGCTGCTTCTTCAGGGCCGCCTCGTCCACATATAGGCCTAAGGATGCGGGGAGAGGAAAGCAGGCGGGGTGGTCACGGGGCAGGGTAAGGGTGCACAGTCACTCTGCGTTCCTCTCAGCGCCTCCCCCTTCATGCCCCCGTACTTGCTGCTCAGCTGCTTCTTCAGGGCCGCCTCGTCCACGAACACGCCTGGCGGTGGGGGGAGGCGGAGGGGGAGGGAAGCATGCGTGAGGATTTGGTTCAGGGGTAAAGGCTGTGTGGGTGTGCCCCTCATGCATCCCACCCCTCGTGCATACCCCTTGGAGGAGGCACTCACAGTAAGCATACACCTTGATGTATGTAGGAATTGACGCTCTGGAGGGGTTGTGTCAAGCGTTTTGACGCAAAACACTTAATGCGCGTTTTGACGCTTGACACTTGTCTTTTTTTTTTTATTCCGAACAGCCCAAAATCGCACGAAAAGAATAAACCGACTTGCGATTTCGCGACGAAATCGCGACCTGGCATGTCAATTCGACATTGAACACCCCTCACAAAACAGAAACACAAAGACATCCCCGACACCACATTGTACTCCTATGCAACTAGAAAATCCAACCAACTAGGTTTACCAAGACCAGTCACGACAATTTAAGTCGTCACTCTTCCCTTCGCAAGCTTCTGACAAAAAATAAGGTTAGAATGCCTATTTCCTGTTCCTACGGCTTTAGATTGCTGCTCCTCTCCTATTAATCCTGAACTTTCTCCCTACCACTCCCCTCGCTCCCCCTCTTAGACATTTTATATTGCTGCCCGCACGATTTTTCCCGCTGCCCGCCAGAGCGTCAAAACTGCGTTAAAAAAAACAGGATTGTGTGTCAAGCGTCCAGACGCTAGCGTCAAAGACGCCGCGTCAATTCCAACATCAGCCCCAGCCGGTTCTTGTTGCGCACTCCAACCCCCGCCAGAGTGCGATCAGACGTCTTCCCCTCCTTCCCACTTTTCTTCCCCTCCTTCTCGGCCTCTTCCCGCCCCCCCTTTCCTTCCCCCCTTCCCCCTTGCCCTCCCCCTCCCCCCCCCCCTCGTCGTTCAGCACCACGGGGAACTCCACGCCTGTGCCCGGCTGTGTGTGTGCCCCTCAGCACTTACCTCGTGCACGCTCTCCACTCACCATACGCATACACCTTGATGTTCTTCAGCCCCAGCAGGTTCTTGTTGCGCACCCCAACGCCCGCCAGCGTGCGATCCGACGGCACCGCCTTCCCCTCCTTCCCCCCTTTCTTCCCCTTCTTCACCTCCTTCTCCACCTTCTCCCCCTCCCCCGCATCGTCGCTCAGCAACACGGGGAACTCCACGCCTGTGCCCGGCTCACGCACTGTTGGCAGCGCTTCTGCTGCCACGTCAGCCACGGCCACTGCGAGGCTGCCAAGTGGCAGCATGGTGGAGGCCTGGGAGGGGAGGGGGGAGGGGAGGGTGTGGGGCGAGCGGGAGTACAGGAGGAGTGTGCGTGCGTTGGGGAGATGGTTTGCTTGAGGAGGATGCGCAACGAACATTATCGATGTGAACGAGATCGGGTGATACAAGGGACGGATTATGAGGTGCCCTCGGGGAACGGGTAAGTGGAGGACGAATACTGACGTGCCTCAAGTGATTGGGCCAGAGAAACGAGCTGGTCTGTTGGTTGTCTGCCACGTGAAGGGGATGGAATGGATGGATGGATGGATGGATGGATGGATGGATGGATGGATGGATGGATGGATGGATGGATGGATGGATGGATGGATGGATGGATGGATGGATGGATGGATGGATGGATGGATGGATGGGCAGGTGAGGTTGCAGGGAGGAGATTCAGGCCTGCTGTGATTTGAGGTGAGAGATTTGGCATGGGTACCGTACCGTACCGCACGCACCTGCTGCTGCGTGTCGGTAGGGTCGGCTGCGAGGGCGAGTGGTGAGGTGCGGTGGTGTGCGGCGAGCAGCAGGCCAGAGCCCGCTGCGAAGGCGGACGCTGGGGAGAGAGAGTGGGAGGAGGGGAGGAGTGAAGGAGGGAAAGGGGGAGGAAAACGAGGGAGGCGGGGAGTGAAGGAGGGAGGGAGGGAGGGAGGGAGGGAGGGAGGGAGGGAGGGAGGGAGGGAGGGAGGGAGGGAGACGGTGAGCAGAGAGGCGGAGAGGCTTAGAGGGGGAAATCAGCGCCCACTGCGGAGGAGCGAGCGGCGAGCGCGGGAGAGTGGGAGACGTGAGTGGGGAGGCGGGGGGAGAGGGGAGAGAGAGGGGACGCAGAGGGGGAGGTAATTGAAGGAATAGAGAGAGACGGAAAATAGGAGAGTGAGTGACGATGGGTGAGAGGGGAGGAAGGAGGAGTGGCCGGTCTGCGATGGGGGGGGAAGGCGAGGAAGGCCCGTACGATGCGGGGCGGAGGAAGGGTGCGAGGCAGGGGGGTAATTCTCCGTAATTCTACTGCCGCCGAGCCATCGTCGCAATCGCGCGTAACCCAACCCATCGTTGCACACCCGCGTCGCGTAATCATTGCCAAACAGCAATCCAGGGTCGCAATCGCGCAGAAACATTACCGGCCAGCGATCCAGCGTCGCAATTCCGCGTACTCCTTACCGGCCAGCAGTCCAGTGCGCAGAACGCCCTCGTTACTCGCTTTCGCCCCGCTGCGCCCATCCTTTCCGCGCCCATCGGGAGCGCCATTCCCCTGCGGGTGCGGGCCCTTGGGAGCGGGGAAAAGCCGCGCGAAAATCGCGTCCATGGCGTCGGCTCGCTGGGTAGCCGGGGATGGGGAGTGAACGGAAGCAACAGCGACGAATGGGACAAAGGCGACCAGCCGCAACTGAGAAATTCGAAATTGGAAGGGTGGAGGAGAAGCAGAAGAAAATGGTGTGGAGTGGAAGTTGGTTTGGGATGGAGGGTACGTCCTTGGCGGCCAGTGAAGTTCGCCCGAAACAGAAGTTGCCGTTTGCGACATCGTTCACGGCTCTCGTCTCTTCGCCAACGACCCGTGTGACGCTTTTTCCGATGTGTGACAGGAGATGAAGGGGTTGTGCGTGGTGCGAAAACTCAAGGGTTGAGCTTATTGGTTAAATCGCTATAACCAATGGTGCGCTGAGTTGAGCCAGCCCACTCCACTCATCATCATGCCCACCATCGACTTGTTTCCAATTTTAATACATCAACATCTAATATACGCGAAATCTCATTTCTGACATTGACGATGTTTGTGGATGTGTCGTTAATTTCAAATAAGCATTGTGTTTATGCACTTAGCGACCATACTACCATCATTTGTGTAAATAAATCAAGCTGCTACTCATAATGCACTTAAGGTAGTGTTTTGTACTATTCTTTACTATATATCTCCAGCGCACCCAGGAAGTAGTCAGGGCGTGGCGGTCTGTTCCGGACCACCAACTGGGCCGATTCGGCAGCTTGGCGGCAAATCTGAAAACGAAGTCGCCTCGACAGCTCCAATTGCCACACTCCCCCTGGCCGTCCAAATTGACGTCGATCTCTGTAACACACGCCAGTGTCTCAATCAAGAAAACGCGGAGCGCACAAACGAACTCGTCGGCGAAACCTTCCTCGTGACGTTTTGGGCATTTCAAGGACCCGACCGTCACGTTACTGCTGACCATCGATTCTTGCCAAGACTGATCAGATTGCCTGCTCAAGCAGGCACTGTATTTGCTAACATCGCCTCGCCTTCCGACATCCCTCCTCTAGATTGTCCTTTGTCCCACCCACTGACTCTTCGTCCTCCACTTCACTCCCTTCTCTAGCATCTAATATCAGAATTTTACTGACACCTTACCTTACCTTCCACAACCTCCTCCTGTCTCGTTTGCATACTGCATACGATTAGCGTTTCCGTCGCTCACGTGAGCTGTTTCCACTATTTTAAGTTGTTCAGTTATCCAGTACTGCAGTCGAGGTGCGAGAGATAGAATTCCATGGGAGTGACGTTCGCGGACTTAGGGGTGTCGTTCGGCGTCAACTTGGGAATTTCACTGGTCGTCTTATTTCTCTACTCGGTCTTCTCACAACAACCGCTGAATGCACGCGTTTACTACACAAAGTGGTTCTGTATAAATGACAAGGTCCGCGACTACCTTTCCTTGTCGTTCTCCTTTTAAGGTCCTACAAGGTCTGCCAAATAATGTAAAATATATCGGTAAATGTAGTTTGTAAGTGCATTAAGTAAAGTGCGAAGTACCATAGAAGGCGAGCATGCAGATAGCGAGGGATGTAGTGCATGAGGGATGTAGTCCAAGCCAAATGTACGTTTCACGAAGCAATATGTGCGATACTCGACACCCGCATTTGATTAAAATAGTAGCAGTCACGGCATTGTACAGATGGTTGTGACAGGATGAATCTCACAACTGGACGCAGTTAACCACAAAGCTGATTAGTAACGACTTAGCTTGTCACATGTCGACCTCGAGTCCGTCAACCCCACGATCCCGATTACGGCATCCTTAGTTACGACCTGGCTTTGTCAACCTTACGACCTCGCTGCAGCTAGTACCTTATCTTATCACCGTTTTACAATCAGCCCGTGCAACTGAGAATCTGTGCTACTTACTTGACGGCTTTTGAAATAATAATGAATGTCAAGTTCGGTGCTCCTCACGTGGCTCGGCGCGCAGGAAGCGACGGAGAAGCACGAGCAGGCGGAGGTGGAGGGCAACATCGTGAAGAGCCGGCGATGGATCGAGTGCTCCTTGAAAAACTACGCCGACACGTTCGACTGGGTCAAGGTGGCCCTCGCCATGCCCGAGCGCGAGCTCATCCAGCACGCCGGTCTCGATAGCGTCGTCTTCCTCCACACTCTCAAACTCGGGTACGTCTCGAATCCCTTCAAGGCTGTCTCAGATTAGTTCAGCTGTAGCAGCTCTGATTTTCCTGGTCACGAGAACCAAAGGCGAGTTTCACATTCGCGTTTGTTGTTTTAAGTCCAACAGCCATCGACTCGGGTTGACCACCGCTGCGGATGGCTCATCGATTTGTCCCAGGCGTCCCTGAATGCTCCACCTCCATCCACGTGTCCCGTTCTCCATCCGGCAGGTTCAAGATCTTCGTGCCGATCTTACTGCTGGCGGCCGCAATTCTGTTCCCCATCAACTTCACGGGCGGGTCGCTGGAGGCGCAGGCGGCGTACGCGGAGCAGCAGGTGGCCGCGGGGAACACGAAAGCGAAGCTCTTTGAATACTCTGAGATTGACAAGCTCTCCATTGCCAATGTGCCCGATGGCTCGCCCAGGTGAGGCTCGACGAGGCAAGCTAGTGTAATGGAACGTCCAGGCTGAGCTAATTGCTGGGCGATAAATCGAGCTTGGCAAGGCCGATCAATGTGCCTGATTCAACTCCACCGCGTTCCTTCGCTCCGCATGTGCTTCTTCTGCGAACCCCTCTACCTTGGTTTCTCCGCCATTGTCTAATCAGATTCTTGTTCTGCGTAGATCCCAGACCTCGCATTTGTCCCCCGTCTTTTTCCGTCTGAATCGCATGTTTGCCTCACGTGTGCAGCCTGTGGGCGCATGTGGTGCTGGCATGGGTGTTCAACCTGTGGGCGCTGTACATGCTGCGAGAGTCCTTCAAGCACGTTGCCCGCATGCGCCTTGACTTCCTCGCGGACCAGCACAGGGCGCCCAACCAGTACACTGTGAGTCTCTCTTGTGTGATACGGTTATAGCGTTCACCCGCATCGACACAAGACACCTGTGTTCACCCAACTAGTAGTCTGTGAGTCTCTCGTGGTTTGGTAGGAGTGTCACGTGCCCCAACAACACACCTGTGAGCGCAAAACCATTTCACTGTGAATTTGGCCAAGAGATCTTGCGAAATGCTCCCATTCCCTTACACCATCTTCCGTTCCTCCAAGTCCAAGTCCCTTGCTTTGTGCATGCATGACCCGTTCCTTCTTCCCTTCCCCTTGCCATGGCAGGTGTTGGTGCGGCAGGTGCCAGCAGACCCCATCAAGTCCATCCCAGAGACCGTGGATCACTTCTTCTCAGTCAACCACTCCGATCACTACCTGCTCACTCAGGTCGGTTTCATGTCGATCAGGTGGTTTAAATGTTATTTGGAACGGTTTCATGTCTCTGCAGGTGGGTTCTATTTCTCCATGGAACGGACCATTGCAGCGAAGGTGCGTGTCTTCTGTCGGGATGGGCCAGCAAACGGGGAAAGGGAAAGGCGAACTGAACATGCACGTTAGATGTGAGTACGATGTGGGGAAGATGAGGGCGAGATGCGAGTGAGGTACCAGGGAGATGCGAGTGAGGTACCAGGGAGATGCGAGTGAGGTACCAGGGAGATGCGAGTGAGATGTGAGTGAGGTGAGGGAGAGGTGCGAGTGGGATGCGAGTGAGGTGAGGGTGAGTTTAGGACGAGGTGAGTGCAGAGGGTGAGATGAGGGTGAGATGCACGTGAGATGCGAGTAAGGTGCGGGGGCGATGAGGGATGTGAGTTTTGTATCCAGTGACAGCAATCCCTTTGTTCCCCCACACCCCCCCCCCCCCCCCCCCACCCCCCTCCCCCCTCATCCCCTTTCTGCCCTTTCCTCTTGGCAGCCGTAGTGCAATGCCAACAAGTTGATCCTGCTTCCTTCCCACGTTATCCTTCCCGTCTCCCCCCTGCTCGCCCCCTGCTCGCCGCCCAGCTGCCCCTTTTGACAGCCCTTATACAACGCCCACAAGCTGTTCCCATTCTCTTCCCACGATATCCTTCCCATCACCCCCAGATCGCCCCCTGCTTGCTGCCTGCTCGAACGCTGCTCCCCTTCTGGCAACCGGAGTACAACGCCAACAAGCTCTTCCTGCTTCCCTTCCTTGCACGACTTCGTTCCCATCCCCCCCTGATCTCCCCCCTGCTTGCCCCCTGCTTCCCCCCTGGCAGCCGGTGTACAACGCGAACAAGCTGTCGAGTCTGGAGACGAAGAGGGACTGGCTGGAGAACAAGCTGACGGAGATGGAGATCAAACTGGAGAAGTCGGGCGAGCGCCCCATGCACAAGGTAGGTGACTCTGAGTCGACTTAACAGTCAGGTAGAGACGAAGAGGGACTGGCTGGAGAACAAGCTGACGGAGATGGAGATCAAACTGGAGAAGTCGGGCGAACGCCCCATGCACAAGGTAGGTGACTCTGAGTCGACTTAACAGTCAGGTGGAGACGAAGAGGGACTGGCTGGAGAACAAGCTGACGGAGATGGAGATCAAACTGGAGAAGTCGGGCGAGCGCCCCATGCACAAGGTGCCGTCCTGCTCCTTTACCCCCCCTCGTCCACCGGCCCACTCGCTCTAAATCCGTCCTAAAGAAACCATTCCCTCACTCCAAACCCACTTCTCTCGCACTTAACTCTGTCCCTCTGCAACCCCTCAACCTCATCATCGTGTATGCCCTCACGTCTCACTCCTCTCCCCTCTCCTCTCGTTCTGCTCCCTCCTTGCCTGATCTAATGCACCCCTCTTGATCCAGCTCACTCTCCTTGCGCTCACCTCATTCTCTGTGCACGCACATTCATCTCCTCCTCTTCCTCCCTCCGAAACTCCCATTGGCCATCATGACAGGACGGGTTTCTGGGGATGATGGGCACGCAGGTGGATTCAATCGAGTTCTACACACAACAGATTACCGACATAAAAAAGGAGGTGTGTGGGTAGATCGTAGAGGAGATGAAGGAGGTGCATGGGCAAGTGGTAAAGGAGATAAAGGTAGAGAGGAGAGTGAGATTTTGGTAGAGGAGACGTTAGGAGCACTATATGTTGGCAGCCAAGGCTGATAGAAGGAGTTACGGTCTTTAATGTGCTCCGGCCTCAACGTGCTGATGTTGCGGGAAACGGACGTCGCTGCAAAACGTCTTCCAGTTGTGGTATGGCGTGTTGCCTTGTTGTCCACCCCTTGTAACCTCCTGTCAACCTCCATAACCTCGTGTAGTGAGGTGAATTTTGAGGCGCCTCAAAATGCACTTCCAGTTGTGGCATGGCGTGTTGCCTTGTTGTCCACCTCTTGTAACCTCCAGTCAACCTCCATAACCTCCTCCTCCCAATACCACTCGTTCAGATCCTGCAAGAGCGTGAGAGGGTGGTCAACGACAGCTCCTCAGTCATGCAGCCTTGTTGCCCTTCCCTCATAACCCCCTGTCCACCCGTATAACCCCCTCCCACCCCCGCTCGTTCAGATCCTGCAAGAGCGTGAGAAGGTGGTCAACGACAGCTCCTCAGTCATGCAGCCTTGTTGCCCTTCCCTCATAACCCCCTGTCCACCCGCATAACCCCCTCCCACCCCCGCTCGTTCAGATCCTGCAAGAGCGTGAGAAGGTGGTCAACGACAGCTCCTCAGTCATGCCGGCAGCGTTCGTCTCATTCCGCACGCGGTGGGGCGCAGCAGTGGCAGCCCAGACACTCCAATCAAAGGACAGCTCGCAGTGGATCACGCACTGGGCGCCGGAGCAGCGCGACGTCAAGTGGGAGAACCTGCCGATGCCGTATGTCAGCCTCATGCTGCGGCGTATCATTGTCGGCGGGATTGTGATCGCCATCATTCTGGGGTACACCTTCCCCGTCAGCTTTGTGCAGTCGCTCGCCAACATTGACCAGCTCGCGAAAGTCGCGCCGTTCCTCGAGCCCATTCTCAACGTGTGAGTGGGATAGCTAGGGTTTGGGGATTGGGGGAATGGGGTTTTAGAGTGGTGGCCACGGGTCATCATTCTGGGGTACACCTTCCCCGTCAGCTTCGTGCAGTCGCTCGCCAACATTGACCAGCTCGCGAAAGTCGCGCCGTTTCTGGAGCCCATTCTCAACGTGTGAGTAGGCGAGCTAAGGTTTGGGGTTTGGGGAGTGGGGATTTAGAGCGGTGGCCATCATTCTGGGGTACGCTTTTCCCGACAGCTTCGTGCACCAGCTCGCGAAAGTGGCGCCGTTCCTCAAGCCCATTCTCAACGTGTGAGTAGGTTAGCTAGGGTTTGGGGTTTGGGGAGTGAGGTTTTAGAGTGGTGGTTGCAGGGCTTTGGGGTGCAGGGATTTGGTGTAAGGGTGACTGGTGATCACAGTGTCGGATCAGATATAGTGGGCGCAGTGTCAGAGTGTGGGTGATGTGGAATGGTGTGTAGGGTTAGGAAGGGATCGGATCGAGTTTGGCTGGGGTTTGAATGGCTTTTGGACGAGCTTTGAATGGGTTTTGCATGGCGTTTGAATGGCGTGCGGATGGGTTCTCAACATCTCCTCTGCAATCCCACCTATGGAGCTGGCTGACACTCCCATCCCCTTCCCCCCTTCCCTCTTTCCCCAACCCACCATCAGTCCCTTCATTAACGCTTTCGTGAAGAGTGTTCTCTCTGGTATCGCGCTCAAGATCTTCCTCGCGATCCTGCCAATGCTACTAACGTTCCTGTCAACGGCGGAGGGGCACACGGCCAAGTCGGGCATAGACCTGGCGGCCACGGGCAAGTACTTCTACTTCATCATCGGCACCGTCTTCTTCGCCAACGTGCTCGGCGGCGTGCTCCTCGACCAGGCCAAAAACCTCTCTCAAAACCCCTCCGCGTGAGTTCCAAACCCCTCCTTCGCTGGGTTCCTCCTGACCCCAAATCCGTGAACCCGTGAACCCTGAACTCAAGACCCTGAAGCCTGAAACCTTGAGCCCCGGTGCTAGTGACGTTCCTGTCAATGGCGGAGGGGCACACGGCCAAGTCGGGCATAGACCTGGCGGCCACGGGCAAGTACTTCTACTTCATCATCGGCACCGTCTTCTTTGCCAACGTGCTCGGCGGTGTCCTGCTCGACCAGGCCAAAAACCTCTCCCAAAACCCCTCCGCGTGAGTTCCAACCCCACCCACACCCCCCCTCGCTGGGTTCCTCCCAACCCCAAACCCGTGAACCCTGAACCCTGAGCTCAAGACCCTGAAGCCTGAAACCTTGAGCCCCCGTGCTGCTGACGTTTCTGTCGACGGCGGAGGGGTACACGGCGAGGGCGGGCATCGACCTGGCGGCCACGGGCCAAGAACCTCTCTCAAAACCCCTCAGCGTGAGTTCCAACCCCTCCCCCCCCCCTCTTGCTGGGTTCCTCCTAACCCCAAACCCGTGAACCCTGAACCCAAGACCCTGAAGCCCGAAATCTTGAGCTCCCGTGCTGCTGACGTTCCTGTCGGTGGTGGAAGGGTGTACACGGCGAGGGCAGGCATGGACCTGGCGGCCACGGGCAAGTACTTCTACTTCATCATCGGCACCGTCTTCTATGCCAACGTGCTCGGCGGCGTGCTCCTCAACCAGGCCAAAACCCCTCAGCGTAGGACCGGACTTCTTTCACTGGTTAAATGAAATGCCTGGGCCCTTAGCTGCGTAAGAACATGCTGAAAATCCGCTTCATTGCAGATGAAAACCTGAAAGCCCGGATGCGGCATGAGCCCTTGTTGAATGGAAGCTCGCTGACTCTGACCCTCTTTGTGTCACTCACCCACCCCTCCCTGGCTAGCTACTGCATCCCCAGCTGCTTCAGGCCACTTTGTTGCTTTGAAACGCTGGTGATTGAAAGCCTACACTGTGCTCCTGCTGGACACTCGACACATTTCTCCCTGTCTCTACCCCACCCCTCCTACTCTCCCCATGTTCCCTCCCCACTGCCTGCCCTGTTCTCTTCCATCTGCTCTCCCTTGTTCCCTCCCCACCGTTACCCACCATTGCGTACAACTCCCCACCACTCCCCACCGCTCCCCACCGCTCTTCCAGTGTGCCGCAGATCCTGGGCGACCGCATCCCCACCAAGGCCACGTTCTTCATGACGTACACCATGCTGGACGGGTGGACCGGCATGGCCATGGAGGTGCTGCAGCTCGTGCCGCTCATCATGTTCCACATCAAGGTGGGTTGAGCCGGTGGGGCTTGCTGTGTAACGTGAAGCTTTGAAGTGCTGACCTAAAGCCCATGGGGGTGCTGTAGCTCGTGCTGCATCACGTTCCACATGAAGGTGGGTTCAGCTGGTGGGGCTTGCTGTGTAAGGCGAGGATCTTGAGGTGCCGAACAAAAGGCCATGGAGTGGAGGTGCTGCAGCTGGTGCCGCTCATCATGTTCCACATCAAGGTGGGCTGAGCTGGCGGGGCTTGCAGTGTAAGGCATGGGTGGAAACAACCAGTCTGTGTTGGTTCATTTGAGAGGCTGGACTGACAAGGCCATGGGGATGCTGTGGTTCTGAGAACTGTGTATCAGAGGTAATATGCCGGGTTATCATGGCCAATCTTGAGATCACTTTAGACTTAATTCTGGTACGTTTTGTTTTGAGTGATAAGCATGTGGTGGGGCCTGTCACCGATGTCTATGGTTTAGGGTTGCTAATTTAGGGTTGCTGATCCTGTTACCACCTCATCACCCCCTTGCCCCTCCGCCTCCTGCCCTAATCCCCCTGCTGGTCATGAACGCATCACCTCTCACCCTTCGACCCTTGCCCCTCACCCCATGCTTCTCACAACTCGCCCCGCCCCTCGCCCCTTGCCTTGCAGAACAACCTGCTGGTGCGCACGCCAGCGGACCGCATCAAAGTCATGAACCCCTCGCCGCTCACGCTCATCGAAACGCTCTACCAGGTGTGCTCTCGCTGTACCCCGTTCTCTACCACCAGGTGCTGCACCAGTTGTGCCCATTCTATACCAGGTGCGCCCTTGCTATACCAGGTGCGCCCTTGCTATACCAGGTGCGCCCTTGCTATACCAGGTGCGCCCATGCTATACCAGGTGCGCCCTTGCTGTACCAGGTGCGCCCTTGCTGCACCAGGTGCGCCCTTGCTGCACCAGGTGTGCCCTTTTTGCACCAGGTGCGCCCTTGCTGCACCAGGTGCGCCCTTGCTACACCAGGTGCGCCCTTGCTGTACCAGGTGCGCCCTTGCTATACCAGGTGCGCCCTTGCTGCACCAGGTGCACCCTTGCTACACCAGGTGCGCCCTTGCTGCACCAGGTGCGCCCTTGCTGTACCAGGTGCGCCCTTGCTATACCAGGTGCGCCCTTGCTGCACCAGGTGCGCCCTTGCTATACCAGGTGCGCCCTTGCTGCACCAGGTGCGCCCTTGCTATACCAGCCTTGCTGCACCAGGTGCGCCCTTGCTGCACCAGGTGCGCCCTTGCTGCACCAGGTGCGCCCTCATTCCGGATACACACACACCAGATGAGGTTGTAATTTTCTATCCGGCCTCGTTCGCCTCCCTCCGTTCCCCTCCACCTGTGCCCCTCTTGTCTCAGTAGCATGCTCGGCATCTCGAGAGACCCCTTTGGGAATTCTTCTTTCCGTCCACCCACTTCCACCCTCTTTCACCCCGCTCCAACCCCATCCACCCCCCTACAGGTGGAGCTCTACTTCCTGCTGCCCTTTGTCTACTGCGTCTCCAACCCGCTCTACCTGATCTTCGCTATTGTCTTCTTTGTCCTCGCGTTTGTCGCCTACCGTAACCAGGTGGGTGCAGTGTGGTGGAGTGGGGTGGGGTGGGGTTGGTGGGAGTGGGTTGGAGTGGATTGGAGCAGATTGGAGCGGGTTGGAGTGGGTCAGGGTTGGAGTGGGTTGGAGTGGGGCCCATTGTGGCCGGCATGGGCCTATTGCATCCCGGTAGGGGCGTGGGATCAAGCTCACTAGGGGCTGTATGAAGCTTCTGCGCGACCAGGAGGGGTGGAGTATAGTGGGGTTCACCGGGGACTGCATGGGCTTGCCGCAACCAAGTGGGTCGTGGAGGGGCCCACTGGGGGCTCTGTGAGCCCCTTGCACCCATGCAACCAGGTTGAGTGAGGCTGCTGCAACTAGGTGGGTTGGGGGGCTGCTGCAATCAGGTGGATCCCACGAGCATTTATGTTTGCCTCCACAGTGTGTCTCTCTCAGCCTTCCATGTGACCCCCCCCCCACCCCCATCGCCGTCCCCTTCCCCCACCAGTACCTTCTTCCCCTCGCTTCCCCCGCGGCCCGCCCCACCCAGATTACTAACGTGTACTGTGCCGGTCCGCCCTTCTCAATCCCCACGTCACCCCCCGTCCCCTCCGCCGCGTCCTTCCTCCCCAAATGCTGATAAACGCCTGCAACGGAGAACCATGTCCATAGCTGTCCTGATACCCTCTTTTTCTTCCCCCTCTTCCTCCAGATGATCAACCTGTGCAACACAGAGGTCCATGCCTATGGCTGTCCCACTTCCCCAACGCACCCGTTCCTTGCCCTGAACCGCTTCGCCCCCTTCCCCTTTTCCAGATGACCAATTTGTACAATGCGGAGTATGAGACAGCAGGGTACCATGCCATGGCTATCGCTGCTCCAATTCTCCCTCCCATCTATTCCCTCCCCTGCCCCTCCTCCAGGTGATCAACGCGTGCAACGTGGAGTGCGAGACGGTTTTTTAGTCGACTCAAAAGAAATTCCTCCCTCCCCCATCCACATCCCCCCAGACGATCAATGTGTTCAATGCGGAGTATGAGCCAGTGGGAGTCTACTGGCCGCACTTCCACGTGCACCTCATAGCGTCCATGATCATTCGGGAATCAAGACGTCATAGCCCCACTTCTCTCTCCTCGCCCCCTCTCCCCCTCTTGCCGCCTCTCTCTCCCCTCCCCCAGATGATCAACGTGTACAACGCGGAGTATGAGACCGCTGGTGCCTACTGGCCGCACTTCCACTCGCGCCTCATAGCGTCCATGATCATCCAGCACCTCACTCTCATCGGCATCTTTGCTCTCAAAGAGGCCAAACTGCAGGTGAGCCCCCCTCTACCTCCTCCTCCTGCTGCTGCTGCTGTTTTTTTTGGTGTCTCAAATAACACTTCCACACGCGCCTCATAGCGTCCAGTTTTGAGTCTACTCAAAGCGCGCCTCAAAGCATCCAGTTTTGAGTCGACTCAAAGCGCGCCTCAAAGCATCCAGTTTTGAGTCGACTCAAAGCGCGCCTCAAAGCATCCAGTTTTGAGTCGACTCAAAGCGCGCCTCAAAGCATCCAGTTTTGAGTCGACTCAAAGCGCGCCTCAAAGTATCCAGTTTTGAGTCGACTCAAAGCGCGCCTCAAAGCATCTAGTTTTGAGTCGACTCAAACCGCGCCTCAAAGCATCCAGTTTTGAGTCGACTCAAAGCGCGCCTCAAAGCATCCAGTTTTGAGTTGACTCAAAGCGCGCCTCAAAGCATCCAGTTTTGAGTCGACTCAAAGCGCGCCTCAAAGCATCCAGTTTTGAGTCGACTCAAAGCGCGCCTCAAAGCATCCATGATCATCCAGCACTTCACTCTCATCGGCAACTTCGCTTCGCCCTCAAAGGGGCCAAGCTGCAGGTGATTTCATCTCGAGCTGCTGCTGCTACCGCCGCCGCTGCCATGCCTCGGTAATATTGCTCCATGCGTATCTGAAATCGCTGCTTTTCACTCGTTCAGGGGACGACTTTTGAGGCGCCTCAAAAGTCGCCTCTGTGATATTGCTCCACGCATATCTCAAAACGCTGCTTTTTACTCTTTTAGGGTCATGGCGTCACTGTTGCTAACTGCTCCATCCTACCTGCTGTGTGACTTTAAGAAATGCTGCTTCTACCAACCAATGACAGTCACGGATGTGCTCTTCAATGCTGTCCCCACTGCTTGTACTCTCGCACGCGCAGCTGCAGATGTGGTTCATAGCACTGTTCCCCTTGGCCCATACCATACCATACCATACCATACCATACCATACCATACCATACCATACCATACCATACCATACCATACCATACCATACCACCACCACGTGCTAATTCTGCTCCCCATTCTTGGTGCACCCTCTCACGCGCAGGTGTGGTTCCTGGTGCCGCTGCCCATCTTCACCGTTGCTTTCCACTACGTGTTCATCAACGGCCCCTTCGACTCCAACTTCTCCAAATACGCTCTCGAGGCAAGTGGTGCTGGCATGTGGGAATTCTTTCGTCACTTTAATGAGAAGAGATTTCAGAAGCCATGCGTTCATTGTCAGACCCATTGATGCTTAGTTCTCCAAGAGCGTCCGCAAGGCAAGTGACGGTGGCAAGCAGGGATCATGGGCGAGGGAAAACGGAGCAGGGGCCATGGAACACAGGGAGCATAGGACGCAGGGAGGATGGGACGCAGGGAGCATGGGACACAGGGAGCATGGGACACAGGGAGCATGGGACACAGGGAGGATGGGACGCAGGGAGCATGGGACGCAGGGAGCATGGGACACAGGGAGCATGGGACACAGGGAGCATGGGACACAGGGAGCATGGGACACAGGGAGCATGGGACGCAGGGAGCATGGGACGCAGGGAGCATGGGACGCAGGGAGCATGGGACGTGGGGAGCATGGGACACAGGGACCATGGGACACAGCAACCCCTCACCATCAGGAACCCCCTACGTCTTTACCCCCCTCATCCTTCCCTCTCTCCAACTTCCTGTCCCATCTCCTTCCGTCTGTTCATTCTCCCCTCCAGCAGGAGGCAAACCGCAAGGATACGATCAACCGCACCATCAGCCCGACCTGGATCCGTCCTCCTTCCTTCCTTCCCTCTAATGCCTTCCCTTCCTCTGACCCTTTCCTCCCCCCTCCATCCTCCCCACTTCAGGAGGCGAACCGCAAGGACACGATCGACCGCACGATCAGCCCCGACCTGGACCCGTCGTCGTTCCTGGCGCGTGCGTACCTGCACCCGTCCCTGCAGTCCGCGTTCCAACTCCTGGACGAGGAGCAGGACGGGCAGAACGGGGCCAATGGGGACGAGAGGGAGGAGGGAGAGGGGGGAGATGGAACGGGCGAGAAGGACGGGAAGCGGAGGAAAAGTGGGGATATGGGGTTGGATGGAGAGAAGGAGATGAGGGGGGGTGCGGCAACCCCAGAGAGTGCACGGCAGAGTAAGGAGGAGAGGAGGCGGAGCAAAGAGTTGGAGAAGGGTGGGGAGAGGCGGAGTAAGGAGTTGGAGGAGGGGAGGGAGAAAGAGCCACAGGTGAAGCTGGTGGCTGTGAAGAGGCATCCCCGCAGCACACAGGCGTCGCCAGCACCGGAGGCGATGGTAACCGGGTTACGAGCGTCGAGCCCTCTACCAGCAGGGACTGCTGAGAGGGCGGCAAGAGGGATGTCGCCTGTGAGAAGCTCTGCTGCTGAGGCGTTCAGCAGAGCAGACAGTACAGACGAGCTGGCGTTTGAAGATGCGCCTGATTTTTCACCTGTGCATTCACCTGAGGCTGATTTGCGGTTGTCAAGTGGGGCAGGAGTGCAGGCAGGGGCGGCGAGAGCACCATCTCCTGCGACAGCTGGCACTCTGCCGCTGCTGCAAGGGAGAAGCAGGGCTGAAGATGATGGGGCAGGTGGGGGAAGGTCCTCCTTTAATCTATGAAACCAGCGCTCATTTGAAGAGAGGAGCCAAATGTGAGCAGACCGGGGCAGAGAGGAGATGGCACACGCAGTGTTCAGATTTACTCTGAGAATAAAGCGCTCAAGCACAGCGGCATGTGTCAATAATGCAACAGGCCCAAGGAAAACAGGAAGGCGTATCGTGTATGGTGGCAGTAAGGTAATGGCAGTGAACAAAAGGTACTGGTATGATTGTTTAGCCAGTCTATTAGTATTTCAGCTCGAATGCGTAGGACTCTATGCGTATGTATGTATACAAAAGCTCCTTGTAACAATCACCAGTAGATAAATGCATTGCATTGCAACCTAGCCTGCCTGGTGCTTTTCTGATTGTGGTAATGGAGCAGACATCCTTAAAAAAGGACAAAGATGGTACTTACCACATGTTTACACCGTGCGGAAGGCTTATGGTGTACTGCAAAATTCTCAGCTTGTAATCCATCAAGGTGCTCATGTTAACAAGGTCTGAACAGCCCTGCTGCCTATCTCCCTCGCCTCCATTCCGCGTTTTATTCCAAGTCAACCAAAAAATCTACCTAGAGTGCAGCCATCGGGACACAGCACGCAGCGTGCATTCAACAGCAGCATCAGCAGAATGGGCAGCCACCCCTTGCACCACTCCATCTCCCTCGCCTTGCCTTCACACAACTGACTTTTCAAAGCAGCCGAAAGACTTATTTCAAGTGCAGCCATCGGGACATCGCAAGCAGAGCACTTTCTACAGCAGAGTCGGCAGCATGGGCAGCCACCCCTCGCACCACCCTGCTGGCCATCTCCCTTGCCTCCGCCCTGCCTGCCGTCTCCACCAGCAGCGGCACCCACAGTTCTGGTGCTCGCTGCACCGCTGCTGCCAGTGCTCCCAAAGGGTCCACAGGAGGTGCCTGGGATGGGCGGGTGGGGGGTATGGGTGAGTGAGAACATGGGTGGGGAAGATATCAATGAGAGCAGCGGCACCCACAGCTCCGGCGCGCACTGCACCGCTGCTGCCGGTGCTCCCAAGGGATCCACTTGGGAGCCTGGGATGAGTGGAGGTTGTGGGTGGGGGGGATGGGTGAGGCACAAGTGGGGAAGGAATGAATCAAGGAGAGTTTTGAGGCGCCTCAAAAGTCGTCTCATGTCTGGGGCCTCAAAAGTGAGGCACAGGTGGGGAAGGAATGAATCTAGGAGAGTAGCGGCAGTTGCAGCTCCGGTGCGCGCTGCACCGCTGCTGCCAGTACTTTCGAGGGGGTCCACTGGGGGAGCCTGGGATGGGTGGGTGAGGGGCATGGGTGGGACACGAGGGAATGGAGGAGAGCAGCAGCAGCAGCCACAGCTCTGGTACCATCGTGATATAAGGGAGCTTTTGAGACCAGCAGCAGCCACGGGTCAAAAACTCCCTTTAATCACACGGCTCTGGTACCATCGCCACCGCTGGTTGCGGTGTCTCTGGGGGCTGAACAGGGGTTGCGTGGGATAGTTCGGAAGGCACGTTGAGTCACGGGTGGAAGAGAGATAGGTCGACTTCTGAGAATTAAGAAAATGAGAGACATGCCAACTATCCCCGAATGCGTTCGTCAAGTTACGTGCTCACCTGTTCCTTGTGACATTGTAGCGAGTTGACTTTTGAGTCGACTCAAAAGTCAACTCCCGGAATGCGGTTCGTCAAGTTACGGGCTCACCTGTTCCTTTCTCGTGCTATATCTGCTGTCTTGTTCCGTCCCAGCCTCTCCTCTGTCTCTCCATTGAGTTGTCACGTTCTCTGCTTCTTGCCGTATCCCACCCCCACCAGAACCACTTAGTCTGCTACCCCCAGATCCTGCCTCTCCTCCCGTCTCTCCCCTCCCCTCCTGCCTCACACCTCTCTCTCCTCTACTCTCTCCCCTGCCCTCCTGCCCCACTCCTTCGACCCCTCTTCTCCTTCCCTTCCCCTCCCTCCTCCCCACCTCCTCCTCCTCCGCCCATCGCTCCTTCCCAGTCGACCCAACCCTCTCATCAACCCATTGCTGCCCAGCAGCCACCGCATCAAGCACGAGCCACCCTCTTGTGCTGCTGCCCTCGGGAGACAGCACATACGCCAGGAAATCCCCTGCTGCTGCCACCACCGCTGCCTCATCCACCCCCTCTCTCAGCTCATCCCTCTGTGTCCCCTTGAGCCTCTCCTCTCGAGACGTCTTCAACTCCCCCGCTGCTGCCTCGTCCACCCCCTCCCTCAGCTCGTCCCTCTGTACCCCCACCTGCCTGTCCTCCCCACCCACTGCTGCTCTCTCCTCGCCCTTTGGTGAAGCCCTTACACCAGTCCTTCCGTCTTCCCCCGCTGCCGCCACCACCGCTGCCTCATCCACCCCCTCCCTCAACTCGTCCCTCTGACCCCCCTGCTTCTCCTCCCCACTGACGGTTGCCTGCTGCTTTTCCTCTGCAGAACCCCCCGCCCTTGCTTCCCCCTCCTGAGCTTCTATAGGAGAGCTACGGTCAAACCCAGTGGAGTGCTGTGGGGATGGTTTGGAGAGCACGGACGCCTGAAGGTGGTGATGGGAGAGGAGGGAGGAGGGAGGAGGTGGGGTGGGATGATGCGGTTTGAGACGTCTCCGAACTGGCTATGCGGACGGATTGATGTGTGCCAGTGTGCTATGTTGTGGCCGAATGTTGAGATTTCTAACAAGAAAAACTACAAACACGTGGTGCAGAAGATGCCGCAAGCCTGGTGAGCTGTACAAGCAAAGCCAGTGCTGATCTGTGCCTTACGGTGGTGACATGAGGACATGCACGTACCATACCGTGCATGTCCTCATGTCACGCTCACCAGTTGCGGATCCTCCTTGCACTGCCACCATACCATACACCTCCATCTCACTCAATCAGATGACTGGGGTTGATCTTGAGAATTCTGTTTGAGGTTGATTTTGAGAGTTCTTAAAATCAACCTCAAACAAAGAGAATTCTCAGAATCAACCTCCTTGCAGTGCCACCATAAACCTCCATCTCACTCAATCAGATGACTTCTGAGTCGACTTAAAATGCGTCTTCCATCTCACTCAATCTCACCACTCGCTGCACGCACTGCCAGCGGATAGCAACCGCTGGCAGCGCCTGCAGCGAGTGGTGCAGAAGATGTCTCAAACCTATTGAGCTGCTGATCGGAGTAACGGCTTTCTCTGTGCCCTCGCTCACGCTAGCCACTCGCTGCATCTCACCAGCATTTTATGGTGCTTGTGAAGCTCACCAGTCGCTGCAGGCGCTGCCAGCGTGTGATGAGTCTATTTCTGAGTCGACTCAAAAATAGACTCATTGCCAGCGAATGGACGCCGAGGCACAGCAGCATCTGGCGCAGAATGGCCTGCATGTCTGGTGAGGTGCTGATCAAAGCAAGGGCTTGTGTGTGCCCACTCCCTTACAGCAGTACCGTGCATCTCGCTCAACCACACCAGTCGCTGCATCTCACCAGTCGCTGCAGGCGCTGCCAGCGGATGGCACCCGAGGGCCAGAGCAGCATCTGGCGCAGAATGGCCCGCATGTCCGGTGAGGGGTCTGAGAGCAGACGCGCTATGATGAATGGGTACGCTGTTGCCACCACCTGGTGAGGGAGAGGGGGGGGGGAGAATGGCAGTGAGGAAGGTGTGGGGTCACTGTCCTTTGATACCCCTGAGGGCCAGAGCAGCATCTGATGCAGAATGGCTTGCATGTCTGGCGATGGGTCTGAGAGCAGACGCGCGATGATGAATGGGTACGCTGCTGCCACCACCTGGTGAGGGACGAGTCGGTAGGTTGCGGATGGAGAAGAGGGAAGGAGGAGAGAGTGAACCGACAAGGGAAGAACAGCCATGAGGAGCTGATAGGGTGGTTCGCTGGCAGCGGAAAAAAAGATTGGGGTGGGGAAGTGAGAAAGTGGGGGAGAGAGTGAGGCATGTCAAAGGGGCAGCACGGCAAGTCAAAGGGGCAGCACAGCAAGTCAGACCTTGAAGTTGGGATCGAGAGTCGTTGCCGTGCCTTCGAGTGAGCCCAGGGCGCGCACAACGAGGGAGAGGTGCGGCGGCAGGCTGAGAGGATTGCCTCTTCTTATGAGTTCATTTGAAAACGGACCTTGAAGTTGGGGTCGAGCGTTGTGGCCGTGCCTTCTAGCGAGCCCAGGGCGCGCACAACGAGGGAGAGGTGCGGCGGCAGGCTGAGAGGCTTTCCCCTTTTGAGTTGATTTGAGAACGGACCTTGAAGTTGGGGTCGAGTGTCGTTGCCGTGCCTTCCAGAGAGCCCAGGGCACGCACAACGAGGGAGAGGTGCGGCGGCAGGCTGAGAGGCTTTCCTCCTATAAGTTTACTCAAGAACGAACCTTGAAGTTGGGGTCGAGCGTTGTGGCCGTGCCTTCGAGCGAGCCCAGGGCGCGCACAACAAGAGAGAGGTGCGGCGGCAGGCTGAATCGGAAGCGGTACATCACAGAGGAGAGACGCAGGATGACCCCCTGTGAGGGAGGGGAGGGGGAGAAAGGTGGAGAGAAAAAGGACATGTGATGTGAACTGAGAGAGGAGTGGTAGCAGGCTGAATCGGAAGCGGTACATCTCTGCGGAGAGGCACAGAATGACACCCTGTGGGGGAGAGGATGGGATGGGGAGGACTGAGGGAGAGGCGAGGGTGCAGTGGAGGGGATCGGGAAGGGAAGTGGGGATGCAAAGTCCATTCTTGGGACGCCTAAAAACAGATGCAAAGGTCAAGGCTCAAGCAGAGGCGGTACATCACTGATGAGGGACGCCCTGGCATGGCTTGGAGAGGATGGGTTACAGAGAGTCGAAGTTAGAGAGAGTCGAAGTTATAGAGAGTCGAAAGAAACTGAGTTGACACGAAATTGGTGCACGAGTGAGGGAAAAGCAGAGAAAGACTTTACCAGTAATGGGGGAATGGGGGAAAAGGTTAGGACGATGACGTGTGGCTTTGAGGCGCGTCAATAACGCGGGCCACACCTGAAAGTCCATGCCACTCGTGCTGCCACTCATGCTCTCCCCTTTCCTCGCCTCGCCTTCCCGGAACACCTCTGCGAGTGCAGCAGCGACGGGCGCCACGTCTGCCTGGGGCGGAAGTCCTGCGCCAGGCCCGGCGCGTCGCGATTCACGTAGTGCACCACCTGGGTGGGCGATAGAGGGGAGGGGAGGGAGGGAGGGGGGATGTGTAAATTGTCACAGGCTGTGAAAGGGCATTGGGGGATGGCATGCAGTGCAGCGCCGGAAAGTCGTCTGCCAGGCCGTGGGCGTTGCGAGTCACGTAGTGCACCACCTGGGTGGGCGGACGACAGAGGGGGGTGCAGAATGTCAACGGCTGGGAAGGGGCCTCGAGAGGAATGAAGTGCAGCGCCCGGAAGTCTTGCGCTAGGCCCTGGGCGTTGCGATTCACATAGTGCACCACCTGAGGGAAATGACAGAGAGGGGGGCGAACGGGAGGTGGTGTGCGTAGGGAGGAGTGGAGTAGGGGTGGGCACATTTTGGAATGGAGTGTAGCCTTACTGCGCCCTCGAAAATGTGCAGGAATGGAGGAATGAAGTGCAGCCCTCGAACGTCGTGTGCTGGACTGCGGGCGTCGCCGTTGACCGTGGGCGATAGAGGGGAACAGGTCAGTGAAGGGGAGAAGAAGAATGCTGAGGGGCATTTGACCCGACAGTACAGACTGGTTTCGATTCTATTTTTGAGGCGCCTAAAAAAACGGGCATTTGACTTGAAAGTGGAGGGTGTACAGCCTGGTTTCAAATTGGCTCTCTGAGAAACGCCAAAGCGCTCACCTAATCAGGCCCCTTCCATTCACCTGACCCCTGGGGCTCGTCTCGTTGTCCCAAACAAAATACGAGTTGATGGAAATACCTCTGCAGCCCACCCACCTGTTTTCCAGTGGAGAGTGTACAACGTGGAGAGTGTACAACGTGGAGAGCTATGTTACTGGAGAGTCATGTTATGATTGGGCCACTCACGGCGCGGATGATGCTGATTCGCTGCTGAGGTGGCAACTCGCCCATCATGCCAAAGTCAAAGTACGCCAGCTGGCCGCCACGTGTCACCACCAGATTGCCCGGATGCGGGTCTGCGTGGAAGAACCCCTCCTCTAGCAGCTGGCGCAGCGAGCAGAGCACTCCCTGGCGTGATGTTGGGAATTTGGGGGATTTTGAAATGGAAGAGAAGGTGTGGGGGGCAAAGGGGAACCCCCAGTCCGGCGATCTTCAGACATAATTCTCAGGGAGCAGCAGTAGTGAAGCTAGGCTTAAAGCAAAATAACAAAGGGAAACCCCCAGTTCGGTATAAAAATCCCTCTTCTAGCAGCTGGCGCAGCGAGCAGAGTACTCCCTGCTGTGATGGGGAAAGGAGGGGGATGGTGGGGTGGGTGCAGAGTTGCGGTTGAGCAGACCGTGTTGCGGGAGAGGAGGAGTTGAGAGAGGGCACGCACGCACGCGGTATATACGTACGCATTAATACATGTAGCATGTCAGTGACACGGTGCCTACCAGGTCCACGACGAACTGTGTGTTGAGGCCGGCCTGCAGCAGCCCTGCTCCATCCGTGAGCTTGATGCCATCGATCCACTGCACAGCGGGGTGAGTGGGCGAGTGGGGAAAGGGAGGAAGAGAGGCGCAAGGGAGGTTTGTAACAAGGGGGGTACGCAGCAAGGTGTGTTGAGGCCGGCTTGAAGCAGCCCTGCACGGACCGTGAGCTTGATGCCGTCGATCCACTGCAGCGGGGTGAGTGGGGGAAGGGAGGAAGAGAGGCGCAAGGGGGGTTTGTAACAAGGGGGGTACGCAGCAAGGTGTGTTGAGGCCGGCTTGAAGCAGCCCTGCACGGTCCGTGAGCTTGATGCCGTCGATCCTCTGCACAGGGGGCCACAGGAAAGGAGGTGGAGTGGGGGAGGGGCAACGGAAAGGGAAATTATGAAAGGTCTGTGGGCCTAATGTCATTGATCCGCTGGCGCACAGAAAAGAGAGCTATAGTGGAGTAGTTTTTTATACTCAACTATTTTGAACGAGGATGTGGAGCAGCGGATGTATACAAAAGCGAGGCGGAAAACATGGCAAGTGGTCAGGCTTGTAACACTTTTGGGAACACTCTAATGAGATGTAAGCGAAGGAGCTACACAAATGAGAGGCATGAGACACATGGGAAGCAGTGTGTGTACTGAAGCAGGGTGGGTGGTACGAAAACAGTGATAACTAGCAAAGCATGAAATGGCAACGGAGGAGAGGAGGGGAGAAGAGAAGCAAAGAGGAATCGCAAACAAGGATAGCTGCCAATTGACGGACGAGAATCTACTGGGATATTCCCAATCATGTCTTCGGTAAAAGCAGAGTTCTACTGCTGGAATAAGCAACGACTTGAGTATGCATTCGAATAATGCAAATCTCCCACCCACCCATTCTTCGCGTGCATTCTTGAGAAATTTGTTCTAGAGGCGCCTAAAAACAGCCTTCTCGAGTGATCTTATTTCCTTCGAGGAGTCTGGAAAAAATCTCACCTCCATAGTGAGCACGCGACGACTGGAGTACTCCCAGAAGATTCTTGGAACCTTCACAAGGCCACGGCGTGTGCCCTGAGAGGACGTGGATTGCTCTGGGAGCCAGACGAAAGGCAAGAGGGCATGGGGGCACGGAACAACAAGTTACAAGGTTAGTCGATACAGGCGAGAGGTCAAAGATAATGGGACGGCAAGGTATGGGATGGCATGGCAAGTAACTCAAGATAATGGCATGGTAGGGTAAATTAGACGAATGTAATGAGGGGCGATGCAGAGAAGCCAAACAAAGAGCCCGCTGGAGGAACCTTGGATTGTGCGGAGCAATATCAACGATAGTCCAATTTTTTAAGCAATCAGCCTTCGTTACATGGCAGGAAGTGCTACCAAGCAAGGGGTAACGGCACCTTGATCAACGGGCCGGGGCCGGTGGTCGCCATAGAGCGCCTGGAAGCGCTCTGCATTGCGCCCCTCCTGCTCATAGTCCACCTCATCGAACATGCGGCACACCTGGCAGGGGAGTGAGGTGGCTGGAGAATTTTTAAGCTGCCGCACATCTCCATACAACACAACACAAACTCACCCCACCTCCCTGCATTGCACCCCTCCTGCTCGTAGTCCACCTCACCAAACATGCGACACACCTGGCGGGAAAAGCAACAGGTGCGTGGGACACTTCAAAGCAGGTGGCTGAGATGGTTCTGAGTTGCTGCAAGAATAACACTCATTTCTGGGTTGCTTTGATTGGGAGATAGAATAGTCAGATTAGCTCACTTGGTAGGTACTAGACTAGACTCCACCTCACTTTTCAGTAGTCTCAAGAGATTGTTTAAAATTCTCGAAAATCACCTGCAACAGCTAGACTGCGCCTCACCTTTGAGTTGTCTAAAGAGTCACGTCAATTAGACAGATTAGCTGACTTGGTACCAAGCTATAGTGGGATAACTTTTGAAATGAGTTAACAGTCAACTCGATTGTACAAATTAGCTGACTTGGTTGGTACTCCAGTCCTTTCCACTCCACTCCACTCCACTCCACTCCACTCCACTCCACTCCACTCCACTCCACTCCTCTCCACTCCACTCCACTCCACTTCCTCTGCCTTGTTTCAGTCAGCTTGTGAAACACGCGAACGAAACAAAAGCCAGACCAGACCAGCTCACCGCGTTTGTCCGTATCCTCACCAGCTGGTCGGCGATGGCAACGAGATCGGATCTGCCGTGCACGAGAGGCTGCAGCAGCGCTGCCACGCGGCGCACCACGAGGGAGTCCAGGGCGATCTGCTGCTGCACTGCTGGCCGTTGGATCTTCACCGCCACCCACTCGCCGGAGCGCAGGCGGGCTGACGGGCGAGGGTGGAAGAGAGTGGGAAACGAGAGCAGAGAGGAGCAAGAAATGGACCTTCCCTGCTCTGAGGTGCTGCCGTGCTGCCCTGCTGCTGCTGGTCATTACACCTTCTCTGCCACATGCTCCGCTCAGCTCGGTACTTGCGCTGGCAAGATGGTCGAGTGCGAGGGAGGGCGGGTGGGACGGGATGAGATGGGCAAAGAGTGGAACGATTGAGTCGAGTCACACCTTGATGTGATGTGAGAAGCTGCAGTGTGATTTCTCACTCTACTCAAGATCCACCTTCGGCTATATTCACACGAGGCTTTCAGTTCAATTACAAAAAACGCCACGAGCAAATAGAAAGAGAGAACAACGAAGGTTAAGAGGAAGGGGGGGGGGGGGTTGAAGAGGACAGGAGAGATGCAGCGTGAGAGAAGAGTGGGGGGGAGAATGAAGAGAGAGGGAGCGATGAAGAGAGAATGGAGGTGCAAGAAGGATGTTAATGGTCCACCTCTCTTACCACCGCCCGAACCTCTTTACAACATGTGTGCGTGCAGAGCTGTGCAGAATGAAGCTGAGCTCCCACACCTGTCTCAGCGATGCAGCAACCAAAAGGACCCGGCTGATTTGCTGCTAATGCAGCTGTTTAGAACAGACAACCTCACACCTCGTCTACGTCTGTGAGGGGGCTCACCCGTACATCAAATCCCAACATGGACATGCAGGACGCCACCTTGCGAACCCTCGTATCTTTGCAACCCCCCTCTGACCCACTCCTACCCTTAAACGCAGCCCCTTACAGCCCCTTACAGCCCCTTACATCCCCTTACATCCCCTTACATCCCCTTACAGCCCCTTACATCCCCTTACAGCCCCTTACATCCCCTTACAGCCCCTTACATCCCCTTACAGCCCCTTACATCCCCTTACAGCCCCTTACATCCCCTTACAGCCCCTTACATCCCCTTACATCCCCTTACATCCCCTTACATCCCCTTACCCCTCTCCTACCTTTGCACACCTGCCCGAGCGACGCAGCGGCCATTGGGGCTGGGCTGAAACTCAACAAAGAGCTTCCTGTAGTTGACAAACTCACATCCCCTGAACTAAAAATCCCAAAACGGACATGCGGGAGAGTCCCTCACACCCTCTCCTACCTCTGCGAACCCCCTCACACCCTCTCCTACCTCTGCGAACCCCCTCACACCCTCTCCTACCTCTGCGAACCCCCTCTCACCCTCTCCTACCTCTGCGAACTCACCCCCTCCTACCTTTGTACACCTGCCCGAGCGACGCAGCAGCCACAGGGGCGGGGCTGAACTCAGCAAAGAGCTCGGTGGGCGGCACTCCCAGCTCGCGCTGCACTGTAGCAAGTGCCACGTGGCAGGGGAAGGGCGCCATGCGGTCCTGCAGCAGCGCCAGCTCAGCGCAGTACTCGGACGGCAGGATGTCGGGCCGTGTGCTCAGGGCCTGACCCAGCTGTTGGGGGATGGGGAGAGCGGGAGGGTGAGGTGACGAGAGGGGGGGGAGGAAGGAAGGGGGGTGTTTGCCGACTCACAAGTCTATAGTGTTGGGCCTGCCCAGACAAATATCGGGCAGCAGCAATAGTGTTCAGAATTATAAAGTCTAAGCAGTAATCTCATTTCTAGAATATATTCAACGGGTCTGACGCTTTCCATTTCTTTCTCATTTCTCTCAATAATTCTCTAAGTCTGGCGCACATACCTTGACATAGAAGGGGCCGAGGCGAACAAGAGACTCCCTGAACTGACGGGGGGAGGGAGGGGGAAGAGCAGAGAGGCAATGAGCATGGGGGAAGGAGGAGTATAAGGGATGGAGGAGCAGTGTCCGTTTCCTTGAATGTACAATGCAGTTTCCACACTCTCTCCTTTCCTTTCAGTCTGCACAATCTCCCATGCGAATCTTCCTACGCACCTTCCTAGCGCGCACTTTCACGTCCGCCACTGTCTGTTTCCGCCACCACATGCGCCCCATCTCCGCTATAGTCACACCCGTGCGCCTCGCTACTGTCACGGGCCGCCATCTGTACTCCGCCGCGATCGCCTCAGGATCGTATCTCAACCGTCCGCTCCCTGATGGGGAGTCGGCTGTGTGGCCAGGATTTGTATGTGCGTCCGTCGAGGGAGGTTTTACCTGAGTGGCTTGGCAGGGAAGGGGAGGCGGCACCTGGTGGCGGGGGCTACCTGCAGGCGAGTCGTGATTGGCGCGGGAGCTCGCGGGGAGAGGAGCGGGGAGAGGTGCGCGGAGACTTGTGCGCGTGAGGGTGTGTGGAGCAGCGGGTGTGTGACGTGGAAGCCACGAGGTGTTGAGTGCGTGATGCGGGAGTGTGTGATGTGGGGATGTGTTGTGTGGACAGCACACTCTTGCGATGTTGAACGGCGGATGCAACACGCGGAGGAGCGACGGCGTTTCTGAAGGGAATGGAGATGGGAGGAGCCATGGGCGGAAAGGAATCGCCGGCGCGACGCCGGGCGCGGAGGTTGACGGGGCAGTATGGGGCGACGGACGCGGCGCGCGAAGGACGCTTGAAACGAGCGGGGTGCTTGAGGGTGACAGTAGCGAATGTGGCAGTGACGGGGGGAACAGGTCAGCGGAGAAAAGAATTGTCTTATATCGGCCTCGTTCTTTGAGTTTCGTAGCCGTGAGCCGGCCAACGCGCCCAACCATGTCCAGCTCTTTTCAAACTACTATTTCGCGGGATTTTCTCAGCCACTTTAGCGGCGAATTAGCTCAGAGTGCGAAAGGCAACAAAGGCCAACGCCATGGCACCTTGATCGAGGACCCTGCTGGAAAGGCAGTAGTCGACGTACAAATGGCGCTGAAAAACTGTTATCTTAGAGGTGGAAGGGATTGTGTGTGATCGGGTTGTTAGAGCGGTTCAGCACGTTACATCGTGCTGAAGACTGGTTTCAGTACTTGTCCCAACCCAATGTATACTGCGTTTATTCTCAACCACATATCTGCTGTATGATGCGTGGTGCCCAAGTGGTACAAGGTGTGAGCCGTTTACAGTATTACCGTGTCGAACCTCACTGAACCAGTCTGGTCGATGCACACGAAAGATACTCACGGGACGGAACAGTCCCCGAGGGACAAGATACAGTACGAACATAACCCTTCAGGAAAAACCTCGGGCGAGTTTGAAGTTCACTCTGTAACGAAGTTCTGACCTTCAAACCCTAAAACCTTGGCTTCAGCAATTTGCGGCAGGACTCAAGGGTTGCTGACAAAGACGACTCGGTGGAGAAATCATCCAATGGAAGTGCACCACGCGCAACGGTTGTCTTGTTTTAGCCACGCAAATTCAGCTCCACCGTCAACACCCTCCGCCAATCCGACGACGACCTCTCCGCAAGCTAACACCGAACTAAACTCCTGCAAACCTCCAAGGCGTGTCAAACAAATCCACTTTGATGCGGTTTGGTGAGATTGTTGAGGCATAATCCGTGGTTCGATTAAATCACTAACGGTTTAGTACGTCTGATCGAAACTGAACTGTCATGACACGACACCCCCTTTCTTGGTTTTTGGTTCATGTGTGGCATGATTATCTGACACCACATTCCGGTAATTTCGAGGTGGATACTCCAGCACTGAAAAAGGATGATGGTGGCATGTCGTTTTCCCGCCAAAAAGTGCTCTTGTGCCTCCACACGACCTTTCTCCAGGCCACCAGCAAAAAACCCCACCCTCCATCACATCACAAGTGTGTTGAGGTAAAGGACTCACACTTGAAGTTGTTGGTTAGCTCTTTTGGCAGCTATTACTCCAGCCACCACATTCAAAGTCTCGTGTTGCTGCCTTGCTTTCTAGTCCTTGCTCCTACCATTGAGCTTTATTGGAGCTCACTCGCGTAGACGGATTTCACGCACGAACCCGCGTAGCCACGACTGCAGCGATCAGGTGAATGGTAACGCAGCAACGTTCACAGTGTACATAACACAATCGTTCTTAACCTCATAACCCTCCACCTCGCTGCTCAAGTGTTCACCGGCGTGTGAGCCGCCACCAAAGCGCGATGGCTCTTCGCGCAGCTAGTCTCACCGCGACGTCGAGCCTCATTCTCGACGTGCGGGAAACACGGAGCTCTCGTCACGATGCGCAGTCTATCCTCTGCGGATCGTCGCCATCTCGCAGATCCGAATCTTGCAGATCCAAATCTCGACCGCTCATCGTGAATGCCGCCATACCCCGTAGATCTGATACAAGAACCGTCGTTGCAGCAGTAGCAGCAGCTAGGGTTTTTTGCTCCTCGGAACCTTCTTCCTCCAACTCGAAACTTATAGGGCCGCGTGTGCCGCCGTCAGCGACAGCCTCTTCGCATCACGCGGGAATGCCGGCCAGCAAGCCGCCGTCGAAACGATCTCCCCCGCTTCACGACTCGCTTGCCACGTGTCAAGCGGTCAGCAGTGCGAGACCAGCTCACGAAGAGAAGGAGGAAAGGGACGCGGTGTCGGCTAACGGCCGGCCCTCAGCCGGTCAGCCGGTTAACGTCCGGCAGCCTGTCGGCGCATCGGTGGAGCCGGCGAACGGGACGAGCAACGGCACGGCCTCAGCGAATGGTGCAGCGACGAGCGGATGGAGTGGAGAGGAGCTGATTGGTTACGAAGGGAAAGGCATGCAGCAGAGACTTCGCGTGGCGGTCGACGTTGATGAAGGTACAGAGCGGTGCAGAGTGATAATGGAGGGTTTGCAAGGGTGTACAATGGTCAGGGTTGGCGTTGGTGCTTTGCGGTTAGTGAGTCGCCTGAAGGTATAAGCGAGGTGCAGAGATGTTCCTTACGGTACTGAGGGTGAAGAAGACGTGGCACTAGTACAGTCTAAGATTCGTATAGCGCAGAAACTCAGGGTGTAGCCGCTACGCTGGTGACCTTCCCCCGATCCTGACAATAGCTGCACGCATTGATTCAAACCGCTCTTCCAACACCCTCCTTCCCCACCCCCCCTCCCCCCCCCCCACCCCTCTCCCCCCTCCTTCCTCCTCCCCTTTCCACACCAACATCACCCTTCTTTTCTTCCTCGTCTCGCTCTCCAGTGCTGGGAAGCTTCCTGTCGACGCTGAACCTCTTTTGCGCTGAGAAGTACTCCGTACGACACGACCTGCACGAGTTCTACGTCTACGACTTCATGAAGGTGGGTAACCCGTCGACCTGTTTCGCGATTTCGTCGATGCAAGCGAGCGAGTGTTTTTACCCCCGTTGCAGAAGGGAGAGAGGGAGAAATGCGAGGAGAGGAGGAGAGCGGGAGAATGGAGGGAATAAGTGAGAGGGAGATGGAGAGGGAAAGGGTGAAGAAAAGGACGGAGAATGGGGACAGGGGACAGGGGATCGGGGTTAGTCTGAAACCTGCCTGATCCGGGTGTTCACTCACTCGCTCAAACACACAAACACACATATACTCGTTGCAAACACTCTCATATTCTTCCACTTTCCATACGCGCACACACACATACTCGACTTCCTCCCCCCCTCTTCCCCCTCTACCCCCTGGCCCCAACCCGCCCCCTAAACACCCCGTGCCTCTTCCCGTCCGCCCAAACCCCCATGGCACTGCAAATGCGACTGCGTGGTGCGGTGCGGTGCGGTGCGGTGCAGGTGTGGAAGTGCTCCCAGGAAGAAGGTGAGCGTCCCGCTTGAGGTCTCTCTCTTTCTTCCTCGTTCTCCCGCGAATGTTGCTACTTCCTTTTGTCCATCTCAATGCCTTTGTCCCTGGCACGCGCACATGGGGAAGGTACAGCCACGTGGGGAAGGAACAGCCACGTAGGGAAGGAACAGCCACGTGGGGAAGGAACAGCCACGTAGGGAAGGAACAGCCACGTGGGGAAGGAACAGCCACGTGGGGAAGGAACAGCCACGTGGGGAAGGAACAGCCACGTAGGGAAGGAACAGCCACGTGGGGAAGGAAGAATCACACCACTCCAATGATGGCATTTTAATCATCGAGTCATGAAAAGTCTCAAGTATATACAGTTATGATTTTCGAAACATCTCAACTTGCTCCATCGAACCCCCTCTTTCCCATCCTCTTCCTCCTCCTCTCCTCCTCCTCCTCCTCCTCCTCCTCCTCCTCCTCCTCCTCCTCCTCCTCCTCCTCCTCCTCCTCCTCCTCCTCCTCCTCCCTCCTCCTCCTCCTCCTCCTCCTCCTCCTCCTCCTCCTCCTCCTCCTCCTCCTCCTCCTCCTCCTCCTCCTCCTCCTCCTCCTCCTCCTCCTCCTCCTCCTCCGCCGCCTCCTCCCTGCCAGCGAACCACCTTGTATTTGACTTATCCAAGTCGGACCACTTCAACAACGGGATCCGCATAATCAAGTTCTGAGCTTCGAGCCATCTTAAGGCTCCTTCCGCCCAACCACCCCCCTCCCCTCTCACCCCCATTCCTCCCCAACGCCCCTTCACAACCAACCACCGAGTGCACGACTTTTTCAAGTCGGAGCATTTCAACGACGGCATCCCCATCATCCAGCTTTGAGCTTCCAACCATCTCAAAACTCCCTCCCCCATTCCCCCTTCCTATCCTCCCCCTCCACCTCCCCCAACCCCAACGCCCCCTCGCAGCCAACCACCGAGTGCACAACTTTTTCAAGTCGGCGCATTTCAACGATGGCATCCCCATCATCCCTGGTGCCTTTGACACGCTGCGCCGCCTCTCCCACTTCACCGACCTCGTTGTCGTCACGTACGCTCGCTTGCTCCCTGCTCCCTGCTCCACTCCCTCTCTCTCTGCCCCTTGCCTCGCTGCGCTGCCTCTCCCACTTCACCGACCTCGTTGTCGTCACGTATGCTCCCTTGCCCTTGCCCTCACCCCGCTTGCTCTCTTGCCCTCTCGTTGCCCCGTACGCTTGCTGCTCTCTTCCCACTTGTCTCACTGCACTGCCCTCGTTGTCACATTGCATGTGTGTGCATGCAGGTCGCGGCAGCATGTGATTCGCGAGCCCACATTGGAGTGGTTGGACAACCACTTCCCAGGGGTCTTCTCCTCGGTGCACTTCGGCAACCACTTTGCTCTCGAGGGCACACCCCGACCCAAGTCCGAGATGTGCCGGTGCGTGCCTGTAGAATGTACCAAAGAGTGTGCAGACCCCTTCTTTGCTCCACCTCATATCCTCCCCCCCACCCCCTCTTTTTCCAATTTCCCACTGAGGAGTTGGGCGCGGAGGTGCTGATAGACGACAATCCACCGTACGCCATGGAGTGTGCAGGGAAAACTTCTTTTCCATTGCATGTTCCGCTGCTAAACCTCATCATGCGCCCACGCCCTTACGGCCCTCCCTCAGCGAGCTCGGGGTTGAGGTGCTGATAGACGACAACCCGCAGTATGCCATGGAGTGCGCCCCCTCCCATGTCATCCCCTCCTTATCCGCTCCTTTCCTCTTTCTGTCCTCATCCCTCACTCAACCTTTCCCACCCACCAGGGAGCTGGGTGCGTAGGTGCTGATAGACGACAACCCACGGTACGCCCTGGAGTGTGCGGAGTACGGCATCCAGGTGCTGCTCTTACTATTCATAAACCCAACCCCCCCATTCCCCCTTCCCCCCTCCTTCCTCCCACTCTACAGGGAGCTGGGTGCGGAGGTGCTGATCGACGACAACCCGCGGTACGCCATGGAGTGCGCGGAGCACGGCATCCAGGTGCTGCTCTTTGATTGGCTGCTGCAGTACCCCTGGAGCAAGACGGCGGGCGGCGGGCCGCACCACGAGCTGATCGAGCGCGTGAGGGACTGGGGCGAGGTGGAGGTGGCTGTCAGGCGCATGGCGGTCGATAGGGCCATGCCTTGGATTAAAGAGGAGAGGAAGAACGCACATAGATGACACGGGTTGGGCAGAGTGCGTGGAAGTTGGAGAGGAGGCAGGCAGGGGTGTTCTGAGTGGAAGGTGATGGACCGGTGAAAGGGTAAGGAAGGGGGGAGGGGGGATGGCGGTGTGGCGCATGGTGGTTGGTGGATAGAGCCATGCTGTGGATCTCAGCGGGGCAGTCGAATGCGCACATATGATATGGGTTTAGCTTGAGGGGAAGGGGGTTTCAGGGGGTTGCTCACTTGCAGGCATTAGTGGTGTCTTGCCTTGAGACGCGCAATTTTGGCTTCGCAAACCGCGATGGGCTGAGCTGACACTGTGAACTGTCAAGAAAAACGACTTGCAGTGTTTGGAGCTGCAACGGGGGTCTCTACGGTATTTGATGGGGAGTTGCATTGGATGCAGGTGCTTGAAAGTTCCGTTTCAATTGGACCATGCATGTTGTTGACCTTGCAACACGAAAGGTAACTACTGTCTGATTGAAAATCCATCACTAAAAGGCCCCATGTATTGATTCTTAATGGATTCTGGAGCTCCAACACTTGGGCAAGATTGCTAACTAAAGTTGAGCAGATACAATCATTAGTGCAGTTGTCCAAGTGTGCGCTGTGTTACAAGTCTTTTACCTCGGCTTTCGGCAATCCCGCTTTCGCCACACTTGCCCAGCAGATCAGCATTGATTTCCAGGTCCAAGCGGTTCGCCGTGGATTCTTCTTGCTTCTGATCGGTATGCAGCGGTTGGGTCAGGCCACACGGCTGGAATTATTTTGTCTGGTGCCGAGCTGACATCGTTGGTGTTCGCGAAGTGGGCAGCTCAGGGATTGTCAGATGTTTCATTTGTGCCGAGGTAACACGCAGGCAAGAACGATGTAATGAGAATCTAAAACGGTTCACCGAAAAATTAGCTGCCGATTGAACTGTTAGCACCACTCGCTTTGGGAATGGTGCTGAGTGACTTGCCCCGAGAGAATGACTCCAGTGGCCAATAAGGTGATTCACCATCCCTCGCGTGGCCACGAATGACTCGAGTGGCCACCAAATTTGGTGATAATGACTCGAGTGGCCACGCCAGGGGATTCTACCTGGCTTTTTTTTCTTCGGCGCATTACCCTACGGGGCTTTGTAGCCCCGAAATTCCCCATTCGCGCGAGGGTTATGTCTAGATGTGAGCGTGAGGAGTGTTGCCATGTCAGGGAATGGGGGGATGAGGAGTGAAGAGGAGGCAGAGGATGAGGACCAACCGCAGTGCAGAATCTGCCTGGAGAGCGATGGTGCGTAACCACTCATCCCTGCAATACGTTGTTTTTTAGAATCATAAAAACAAACACATTCAGCATGACGAGAGGACCAACCGCAGTGCCAAATCTGCCTGGAGGGCGACAGTGCGTAGCCACTCATCCATGCCACACGCCTCCTCGCCTCTTCACTCTCACACCCGCCTGTGATGGCACACGGTGGCCTACCAGTAGGGGATACCTGCCAGTACTTCAACGTAAGATGATAACAGTTGCCACGTATGTGTGCCAGGCATGTATGTGTTTCAGGCATGTATGCGTTTTAGGCATGTATGTGTTTCTGCCATGTATATTTTTCAGGCATTACGCAAGCATGCGTTCCAGGCATGCATGAGATTCAGGCATGCATGTGCTTCAGAGGCATGCATGATATTTTCTGATACAGTCCACACTGCTTTCAGCTCCTCACCCCCCTCCCAGCGGGTCAGGACTCCGTCACCCTCTGCAACTGGTTCAATTCTCCTTCGAAATCATGCTTTAAGGCATTTAAGAAGTAAAAAACGCGTACCCATGCCCATTGCGTCCCCGTCCCCCTCTGAGCAGGTCGGGACCTCATCGCCCCATGCAGGTGCAAGGGCTCGGCGCGGTTCGTTCACAGGCAATGCCTGGACCAATGGCGGGCCACCAAGGAGGGGTTCGCCTTCTGCCACTGCTCCACGTGCAAGGCCCGCTTTCAACTGCGCGTGTGCCTGCCGCCCGACCTCAGATGCCGCCATCTCAAGTTCAGATTCTTTGTCGCGAGGGATATTGTGCTCGTAACGCTGCTGGTGCAGATGGTGAGCTTTCCCTCTGAACCTCTTTCGAGGCGCCTCCCTTAAAGGCCACCTTTTGCACCACCTCTTGGCCTGTCCCGTGCCAAGATGAAGTGTCCCCATATATATATATGTATATATATGTATATATATGTTTCCCTGTCCCGTTTTTCTCTCGTCACTCGTCATTCTTTCGCACTCAACCTCTTGCACCTCCTTCAGCCGTTTCTACCCTCTTCCCCCTTCGAATTCACCAGCTAATAATCTGCTTTGGCTACACTGCCTACGTGGCGGATTACTATTGGTTCAACATGGGGTTTCAGAAAACATGGGGCGAGCAAAGCCCAGCAACCTTCTACTACATCTGTGGTGAGAGCGGCTGTGGTGTGTGCAAACTGCCTCCCAACGTTTCCTACTTGACTGCCTCCCAACGTTTCCTACTTGACTGCCTCCCAACGTTTCCTACTTGACTGCCTCCCAACGTTTCCTACTTGACTGCCTCCCAACGTTTCCTACTTGACTGCCTCCCAACGTTTCCTACTTGACTGCCTCCCAACGTTTCCTACTTGACTGCCTCCCAACGTTTCCTACTTGACTGCCTCCCAACGTTTCCTACTTGACTGCCTCCCAACGTTTCACCACTTGACTGCCTCCCAACGTTTCACCACTTGACTGCCTCCCAACGTTTCACCACTTGACTGCCTCCCAACGTTTCACCACTTGACTGCCTCCCAACGTTTCACCACTTGACTGCCTCCCAACGTTCCACCACTTGGCCGCCTCCCAACGTTCCACCACTTGGCCGCCTCCCAACACTTTACTACGTTGTTCATGCCGTGTCCCAACCAGGCGTGCTGCTCTTCCTCGTGTCCCAACCAGGCGTGCTGCTCTTCCTCGTGTCCCAACCAGGCGTGCTGCTCTTCCTCGTGTCCCAACCAGGCGTGCTGCTCTTCCTCGTGTCCCAACCAGGCGTGCTGCTCTTCCTCGTGTCCCAACCAGGCGTGCTGCTCTTCCTCGTGTCCCAACCAGGCGTGCTGCTCTTCCTCGTGTCCCAACCAGGCGTGCTGCTCTTCCTCGTGTCCCAACCAGGCGTGCTGCTCTTCCTCGTGTCCCAACCAGGCGTGCTGCTCTTCCTCGTGTCCCAACCAGGCGTGCTGCTCTTCCTCGTGTCCCAACCAGGCGTGCTGCTCTTCCTCGTGTCCCAACCAGGCGTGCTGCTCTTCCTCGTGTCCCAACCAGGCGTGCTGCTCTTCCTCGTGTCCCAACCAGGCGTGCTGCTCTTCCTCGTGTCCCAACCAGGCGTGCTGCTCTTCCTCGTGTCCCAACCAGGCGTGCTGCTCTTCCTCGTGTCCCAACCAGGCGTGCTGCTCTTCCTCGTGTCCCAACCAGGCGTGCTGCTCTTCCTCGTGTCCCAACCAGGCGTGCTGCTCTTCCTCGTATCTGCTGGTCTGCTCGGTGCCGTCATGACGTGTGTTGATCGCCGCTTTCGCAGCGACCTTGCAGCTCCCTGCAGGGACCTGGGCGCCTGCTGCTGCGACCCCCTGTGAGTTGTTTGTTTTGGCTCCCCAAGAGAGATTTCTAGCTTCTCCCTGCAAGGACCTAGGCGCATGCTGCTGCGACCCGCTGTGAGTGCACTTTTTGGAGGGCCTAAGGGATAGATCTAGCTGCTTCCTGCCTGTAGATATTTAGCTTTTCCCTGCAGAGACATGGGCGCGTGCTGCTGCTACCGCCTGTCAATGGTTTGTTTTGGCTCCCCAAAAAAATAACCCAGCTGCTCCCTGTAGAGACCTAGAAGCTCCCAGCAAAAACCTGGGTGCGTGCTGTGGTGTGAGTCCCCCTTTGAGTGTTAAAGGTCTGCTGCGACCAACTTGTGTGCAAATGGTTTCACAACTCACTCTTTACATCCTCTTCCTCCCCCATCTCAGTGTGTGTGGCAGCTGTGACTGCCACGTGGCACCCATCTGTCTCTACTCAGACTGCTCCGGCTGCTCTTTCTGCTTCTCCGGCTGTAGCGACTGCGCCGCTGCCATAGGAGGATGCACAGGGGAGGCGGGGCTTCTTATCCTGCTGACACTTGGCGTGATCCTATTGGTTGTGCTGGCACTGGTGGGGGTGTTCTACTGCTTGCTGGTCTCGACCCTGGTGGTGCAGCGGATATGGCAGCGACATTATCACGTCCTCGCAAAAAGGATCCTCACTAAGGTATTTGCTCACTTCCATGCTGAAAAACAATTAACTGTTATTCAGCTGTGCCGGCTCTATAGTTCTGGGGCCCTTGCAGCTTCCACTCGTACTTGCCTAGTTAACCGTTGCGTTTGTTTCTTTTTGCCTTTTTTTTTTTTTTTTTTTTTTTTTTTTTTTTTTTTTTTTTTCAAAGAGCTTATCTTCATGATCGCGGCCAATGTTTCAGCTCGTCTCTCACAACTTCATAGTTCATTAGTTTGTGCTTCATAGTTCAAGCCGTTTTTTTTATACGTGAAAAAAGCATATTGCGCTTCTCCATGTCTGCTGCCTCTTCGTGTCTGCCTCCTGCCCGTCCATCTCCATTCCCTCTATTGCATTTTTACAAGTTTAGTGTGTAGTGCATGGTATGTCTGGGATGCGCTCATTTCCTATCAAAATCATGCCTCTATGTCTCCTCCTTGTCCTCTGCCCTTCCCTCCATGCCCTACACAGGAATTTATTGTGGAGGATTTGTCTGGAATGTCTCTCCCTCCTGATTGGTCGCCACCGCCACTGCTGCCCGAACACGAAAAGCAGCTGAGGGATTTGAGGCTTCTCTGATTGTGCACGAACCAGGCGCGGGAGGCAGATCTCACTGTGCATCAGCTTGTGCTACTGATGCCCCAGCGATGGTTTAGTTGTAAATAACTCAGGGCAGCTTCTTTGCGTGTACAGTGTGAGCCAAAAAACCACCAACATTCCACTAACAATAAACGTGTGATGTTTTACCATTTTTAAGATCCACCCTAATTCACAGTGCACGTCGAAGTGGAACTTCGCGAAAAGATAGTAACGAGGATGACCTCCAGGGACACCCCCTCAACCCATTCCACCCATCCCAACCCAACCAAGCAGCCCAGCACGATATATTCTTTCCACCATAATCTCTGGAACTGCGAGTACACATTCCAAGGCATTCGGTTCCGATTGAGCAGACCTGTCGATTGGGCTGGGAGCTCTCATCTCCATCCATTACACCATGGAGAGCCACGGCGACGGCGATGATGCGAAGACGGCACGTCCCAGCACCGCCACGGATAACGCAGAACAATCACGCTGTGATGAAAGACCGGCCGCGCAGAACTCCGTACAGTCACAACCGCAAGTCGCGTTGTCGTCGTCGCGAAACGTAGAGGCACCGACTTCCTTGACAGAGGCACCACTAGCTCCGCAGGACCGCGAGCCTGGCGTAGATGCAACGACTCCCATGCCAGTCGTAGAAGCACCAGCGACTTCCGTGCCAGATGCGCCGTTCGGATTGGGTGCCGGCTCGACGATACACTCTCTCGCATTCGACGAGCTGTACCCGTCTCAGGTGCTCTCTGTGCGATCCCCGCTTCGCTACCACGAGCGAGGCTTCTCGCGATACTTCCTGCGCGGTGCGTGGGAGCGACTTGTGCCTGCCATTCGAGTCAACAATTCCTTCTTCTCCCAGCAAATATGCTAGTATCGCTGTCTTATTCTCCTTGCGCAATAGCTTCTAAGCGCAACTCTCGTTTGACACCGTTGTGCACCCATTTGTTTCGTGCATCCACCGATTCTGGTGTCGCAGACGTGGGAGGTATAAAGGGCAATGATCAATACATCTACCGACATGCCAATGGGTAGGTGTACACTGCTAGTGTAATAAAACCGATTCCCTCGGCATTAAATTACACCAATTCTGCGCTTTCCAAAAGGCTGACCCTTGACTATCGAATTCCTCATAAACAAACCCCTCAATTTGGACCAGGGATGTTGTGTTCAGTGCAATGTAGGCTCTGATACCCTCTTCCCCTTCTTGTCAGATTCGGAATGCATGCCATGAGACCATAAACCCGAAACCCTCTTCCCGTTCTTCCCCCCTGCACCCCTCGCCCCCCTCGCCCCCGTCGCCCCATTGGTCTCCTCGTCCCCCTCTGGCAGACTCATTGTGGTGGGCCTTGCTCCCTCACACGCAGCACTGGCAGCAGATCGAGCGATCTCAGCCGTTGATTTCCACGTGGGCAAGAGGAGCCGCCTGGAGATGGAGGCCACTGGCAAGAACAAACAGGTGCGGGCGAGGGTTGAGGGGGTTGGGTTTAGAGGGTTCAAGGCTGAAAACAGTTGTGAATCTCAACTTGAAGGTTTCGGCTTTTAGGGGTTCAAGTTTCTGGATAGTTAATTTGAAATGAGAGTTGAAGGGTGGAGAGCTGTGAACAGGCAGGTGTGGGATGGATGACTTCAAGTGAAACACAACACACTACTGTCAGTCACAGGGTGAACTCTGGTTGAGGAATATCACTGTGGTCCCTTCCTCTGTGATTGCTTCTGACAAAAGAGAGTTCTTGAGACGTCTCAAAAACTCTCTTTTATCATCTGGGTGGGGAGTATGTCCGTGATCCGTTCCTATGTGATTGCGTCTGCCCTTCCTGTCTTACTCATTTCTTTGCTTCATCCTCTACTGCTTGTGTCTATACTCGCCATCCCATCCAATCAGAGGGCAACACCTTTGGATGCCAACTCAGCTCTCTGCAAGATCGTAATGGTGACACCACCTCCTGATACAGTCACAGCAACTGATACAGGCACAATCGCTGGTGGTGATGCCAACGCTGCCACCACAGTTCCCAATGTGACGGAATCGAACCCGACCGCAGTGTCTTGTACGACAAATGCAGCTCCTGGCAGCAGTGCTGCAGGCAGTGGCAGCACTATCAGTGTGTCAGAAAGAGCGGCAGCTATGCCCACTGCAACTGATACAGTCACAGCCACTGATTCAGTCCCGACTGGTAATACAGCCACAACTGGTAATGCAGTCACAGCTGCTGATACACTTACAGGTTGCAGTGGTGCACCCGCAGATGGCAGTGAGTTATTGAATACCAATGGGAGGAGCAGAGATAATGAGCAAAAGCAGCCGACGATAGGGGGGAATCGAGAGGCGCGACTGCAGAAAGTACCCGAGGGAGCGAGTGGTGCTGGTTTTGAATCAAGACACGAAAATGATGAAGCAAGAAGAAAAGGGCCGGGATTGCAAAATGGTCGAGGAGAAATGAATGGGCAGGGATATGCGTTTTACGTTGCAAGGTCGGTCCACTAGTCTTGTGAAATGAAAAGGAGCTACGTGCAATGTGTTTCTGCTTCCTCATGAGTGTGGCTTATCTCGTCCGCCCCTCTTCCCATTCTCTCATTGTACCCGCTTCCCTCAATCTTTCTTCATCCCGGGAGTGACAATGTGGAACGTCTCGTCGTCTCCTGTTCAGGTGTTGCGTCAAGGGTCGGCTGATTGAGGTCAATCGACAGCTGGCCACCAACCCGATTCTGCTCAGAGACAAGGTAAGGTCAATCCACCAGAGTTGTCGGCAGAATCAGTCATGTTGTCTCTTAGCATATGTCAAGGAACATAATTAAAAGGACAGGATTGTGTATATTATACTGTTTTATCGATGATTATTTCCATAGTTTATATACTTTCTGACTTTCCATCAGTTCCATTCTTCTCATTTTGCTTTCTGCAGGCAGCATCCGAGGGGTACATTGCAGTGCTGCTGCCGCATCCTGCCGAATGGGCAGCAGCACAACCAAGGCTCTTGACAGAAGAGCAATATGAAAGTGCTGATATATGAGAGTAGCATGAAATTGCTGCGAATGTCCGTGGTACAGTTCAGAAGTCTTGCCTCCCCCCATCAGAGCACACATCAGCAGCAGCAGCCTTTGCAGAATGAGGACAGGCGGTGGATGGATGGTTACCGTGTGCACTTAAAGTTTACTTTTGAGTCGACTCAAAAGTCACCTCACATCAGCAGCAGCAGCCTTTGCAGAATGAGGATAGCCAGTGGATGGATGGTTGCCGTATGTGCTTTGGGTTTTGGTGGCTAGTTTATGATGGTAGCACGGAATGGGTTGTTTTCCAGCTTGTGCAATTGACCTTAATATAGACGATTCGCTGTCAGAACAACACCCAGAATTCTTACATATTGTGCCTTGTTGTACATTATGGTCTGCAAAACCGAGCATTCAAAATAATACCTCCAGGGTTTAACCCTCCACTGTTACTGGAATACTACTTCCAATCTTGTGTACCATACGCGTAACATTATCTTTGCCTTTCGCGAAGCAGAAACGCCCAGGTCGCAGAGCCGTCTCTGAAAGCCTCTCCTGCTGCTGCTCTGCTCTCCTATGTCTTCCCCCTGACGGCAGTAGCTTGGTCAGTTCCGGGAGCAACTAACTTGACTGACGGCAGTTCAGGCATGAGACGACCAGTTGTGGACCATAGAATTTGCCGATAACTCGGTCCGATGGCGTCTTGGAGAACGAAACGATGAGAAAACTTTCTTGAAGACGTGGTATTGGCGACAGACACAATGGCTTCGCCAGCCGCGAATATGACAATGTCGAACGCGACAGTAACGGAGGTGGCTATGGCGGAGATGCTAGCGCAGCTGGCGGCGGTTGAGGCGGAGTGGGTGAGCGTAGCGGAGCGCGCGAAGGGCATCGTGCATCTGACGACGGGCATATGGCGGATGATGGCCGCCTTTATCGTGCTCTTCATGCAGGTGATTAGCAGCGTCGCAGATCGTCGCAGGGTGTCGCATGCACCCTGGCGACAATGATAGCGAACGTCGCCAAGCTGGAACGAAGCTGGCTGTAGCTGACTGTCAATCAGCTTGGCTGTAGCTGCCTGTTAAGCAGCCCGGCTGTAGCCGACTGTACTTTATTCCATGCTGGTGAGGTTATAGCGGAACGGTGGCAGAGAGCAGCACAGGCGGTTGTAGCAGAGATGCCGCAGAGAGCAGCAGCGGATGTAGCAGGGAAGTAACCTATTCCAGGCCACGTGCTCTGCTTACAGCAACAGTGCTGTATCCGGTCCATTCATCATCCCATTCTCTCACTCATGAGTGGATGATTTGTTTAGCATTCTTGAAAATACCCCTCCCTTCCTCGTGTGTGTGTGCTCACCATGCACCCACGCGCTCACCATGCACCCACGCGCTCACCATGCACCCACCCACTGCCATACCTGCTCGTCGCACTTTTTTCAACCTCGCAGCTGTGTTGCTTGCTGATCGAGGGGGCACATTGCTTGCTCTGTTTACATTGAAATGCGCTTATCCCATGTACCCACTCGAACACTGCGCACACACTCTCTCACTGCACAGCTCGGCTTTTCTTTAATAGAGGCGGGCACCATTCATTACAAGGACACGCCCAACGCAGCATCATCATGATGATTAAGAACGTGTTGGACATGTGTGCTAGCGCCACCCGCGTGTGATAAGTCGATTTCTGAGTCGACAAAAATCATGATAAAGAACGTGTTGGACATGTGTGTCGGCAGTGCCATCGCCCGTATCCCTTCCACCTCCTCTTTCCACCTCCTCTTTCCACCTCCTCTTTCCACCTCCTCGTTCCACCTCCTCGTTCCACCACCTCGTTCCACCACCTCGTTCCACCACCTCGTTCCACCACCTCGTTCCACCACCTCGTTCCACCACCCATCCCACCCTCCCAGCTCGGCTTCTCTCTAATAGAGGCGGGGACCGTTCGTTACAAGAACACGCGCAACATAATGATCAAGAACGTGCTGGACATGTGTGTCAGCGCCATTGCCTTCTGGCTCATCGGCTTTGCCATTGGCTTTGGGAGTGGCTCTGATTTCATCGGCTGGCAAACACCCTCCGGCACGGTAAGACCCTCAGGCTCGGTAAGAATCTCCGGCTCGGAGGCCCTCAGGCATGGTAAGTCCCTCAGGCTTGGTAGGGCGCTCGCTTAGGCTTGGTAAGGCACTCAGGCCCAAAGGCACTCAGGCCCAAAGGCACTCAGGCCCAAAGGCACTCAGGCCCAAAGGCACTCAGGCCCAAAGGCAGTCAGGCCCAAAGGCAGTCAGGCCCAAAGGCAGTCAGGCCCAAAGGCAGTCAGGCCCAAAGGCAGTCAGGCCCAAAGGCAGTCAGGCCCAAAGGCACTCAGGCCCAAAGGCACTCAGGCCCAAAGGCACTCAGGCCCAAAGGCACTCAGGCCCAAAGGCACTCAGGCCCAAAGGCACTCAGGCCCAAAGGCACTCAGGCCCAAAGGCACTCAGGCCCAAAGGCACTCAGGCCCAAAGGCACTCAGGCCCAAAGGCACTCAGGCCCAAAGGCACTCAGGCCCAAAGGCAGTCAGGCCCAAAGGCACTCAGGCCCAAAGGCACTCAGGCCCAAAGGCACTCAGGCCCAAAGGCACTCAGGCCCAAAGGCACTCAGACCCAAAGGCACTCAGGCCCAAAGGCACTCAGGCCCAAAGGCACTCAGGCCCAAAGGCACTCAGGCCCAAAGGCACTCAGGCCCAAAGGCACTCAGGCCCAAAGGCAGTCAGGCCCAAAGGCAGTCAGGCCCAAAGGCACTCAGGCCCAAAGGCACTCAGGCCCAAAGGCACTCAGGCCCAAAGGCAGTCAGGCCCAAAGGCACTCAGGCCCAAAGGCACTCAGGCCCAAAGGCACTCAGGCCCAAAGGCACTCAGGCCCAAAGGCACTCAGGCCCAAAGGCAGTCAGGCCCAAAGGCAGTCAGGCCCAAAGGCAGTCAGGCCCAAAGGCAGTCAGGCCCAAAGGCAGTCAGGCCCAAAGGCAGTCAGGCCCAAAGGCACTCAGGCCCAAAGGCACTCAGGCCCAAAGGCACTCAGGCCCAAAGGCACTCAGGCCCAAAGGCACTCAGGCCCAAAGGCACTCAGGCCCAAAGGCACTCAGGCCCAAAGGCACTCAGGCCCAAAGGCACTCAGGCCCAAAGGCACTCAGGCCCAAAGGCACTCAGGCCCAAAGGCACTCAGGCCCAAAGGCACTCAGACCCAAAGGCACTCAGGCCCAAAGGCACTCAGGCCCAAAGGCACTCAGGCCCAAAGGCACTCAGGCCCAAAGGCACTCAGGCCCAAAGGCACTCAGGCCCAAAGGCAGTCAGGCCCAAAGGCAGTCAGGCCCAAAGGCACTCAGGCCCAAAGGCACTCAGGCCCAAAGGCACTCAGGCCCAAAGGCAGTCAGGCCCAAAGGCACTCAGGCCCAAAGGCACTCAGGCCCAAAGGCACTCAGGCCCAAAGGCACTCAGGCCCAAAGGCACTCAGGCCCAAAGGCAGTCAGGCCCAAAGGCAGTCAGGCCCAAAGGCAGTGAGGCCCAAAGGCAGTGAGGCCCAAAGGCAGTGAGGCGTGGTAATGTTGATCTATGCGGGCTCCCATTCTGCGTTTCACTCTTCCCCCCATGCTGTCTTCCTACCTAGCTGCCACTCTCTCCCGATGATGCCTTTCTCCCATCATGCTGTTCCCATGTAATGCCACGTGCGCCACACACCATGCGCCATGTGCCGTGCCACTTGCGATTGCCCATGCCTCATGCCCCATGCCCCACGGCCCATGCTCCATGCCCCATGTGTCAAACCGTGATTTCTTTAGTTTGTATTGTTTACTCTAGGTGGTGTACAATTCTGTTAGGCTTAGGGTTAGGTCTGCTATATCTTTGCTGTATTCTCTCATTCTAGTCATTCATTCTCTCGTTCAGTTGTTAACACCATGCCCTCCATGTCTCGCCACGCAACAGGTGTCGATGGCAGTGGTGCCCCATGAGAGCGGGGCGCTATTCTTCTTCAACTTTGTCTTCTGTGCCACCAGCGCCACCATCTTTGCCGGTGCTGTGGCCGAGAGGACTCAGATCACCGCCTACCTCTTCTTCAAGTGTGTAACCACCTTCCTTCTTTATCAGTCGACTCAAAACTGACTTGTGAGCAGAATCTTGAGTCGGCTAAAAAACCATCTTCGCTGGATCCGTGGCCGAGAGGACTCAGCAAGTAACCACCTCGCTTCTAGCCTTGCCTTTTCTGCAAATGACGGTTATTGCTTGTCTCTCTCTCTCTCTCTCTCTCTCTCTCTCTCTCTCTCTCTCTCTCTCTCTCTCTCTCTCTCTCTCTCTCTCTCTCTCGAATGGTCCGTGTATTAGCTGAAGGGTGGTACAAAGGTTTGAAGCAGACACATGCAAACTAGGCTAACAAGCAGACCTATCAACCATCACCTACTCCCCTCCCCTCCCCCCGCTGTCCGACCCTAGTGGTCGGACGGGGGCTCGATCAGCTGGTGCAGCTGCCCCTCGTTGAGAGGGGCCCACGGCCCTTGCAGGCTGAGCTCGTCCGCCTCCAGGGCCTCGTTGGTCTTGGTGCGGAGGGCATTTGCCTGTGCCCTTTGGAGGCACACGCTCCAGCGCTGGCGGTACTCCGTCAGCAGCTTGGCAGCCTCTCGAGAGGTAGGGGCCGCGTTGTAGCGGAGCTTCGCAGCCAGCT